TTTTTTTTAGAGAACGTCCTAGGGTAGCGTTGCGTCCTTGTGTTTTTAATGCTTGGGCCGATCGATGCAGCTATGCTGTTACTTTGAACAGCATATACTGAAGACAATGTTGTGTATAGATAGGCTAGAACAAGAAAGCAATCCGGGACGTAGTACATACATGTTTTGTCATGATATTAGCCATTCCTGCAATTTCGACAGTTAGTAATACCGACCAGACGCAAGGATAAATTTTCAGAATTAAGCGGTTTATGACATGGGTAGATTCAGATTGATTGGCACACCGAGTTCGGGCTCAGTATTACACAGATCGAACTACTACTACTACTACTACTACTTTGTTTATAGGGTAGGGTATGAAAAGTATACATCGCGCCCTAGAAGTGGGTCCGGTCTAATTTCATCCGATCGCCCACTCGCCCGGGATTTGAAGTTTAATCTGGGTCAACTCCATGATTATTACTAACTCCTGGATGCTGTTGCAAATGGGAGGCGTCAATTGAATGCTGATGTAGATCCTCCTCCATCAGCTATACTATATAAACCCCAACATGATTGCAAAAATGTTTCTGTCTATCCTTCAAACATTACAATCAATTCCTTATTCGGACATATCTCTGATCAAAGACCAACACGTTATTTCCCGTATTTCTCAATTCACAACAACAATAACCATGTCCCGTGTTGGAGCTCCCGTTGATCTCGCACCCCTGGGAGAGCGACTTGAATTTCCCTTCTCCCGTCGATGGGCCACTAACCGATTCCTAAAGGCTGCCATGAGCGAACGTCTGTCTACTTGGTCAGAAGACGATCTGTCGGCTCGTGGAATCCCTTCAGATGAGCTGGTCAAGGCATACCATGTCTGGGGCAAGGGGGATATTGGCATGATCCTTACTGGAAATGTCATGATCGACCCCCAGCAATTGGAGACAGAGGGCAATCTCATCATTCCCGGCGATGCCCCGTTCACTGGCGAGCGTTTCGAACAGTTCAAAAAGCTCGCCGAAGGTTCCAAAGCCCATGGATCGCTTCTCGTCGCTCAGGTATTTCTCTAGCTTCTTCTCCTCCAGATTCCGTCCATGAAGTTCCACATTATACTAATCACATTTGAAGGTCTCCCACCCTGGGCGCCAGACACCCTACCATCTGCAGCCCAACCCAATCAGCGCCAGTGATATCCAACTAGAAGGCGAAATTCTAGGCAACCGCTACGGCAAGCCTCGTCCAGCGACCGAGAAAGATATTCAGGAAGTGATTGACGGGTTCGCCCACGCAGCTGAGTTCCTGGATAAGGCAGGCTTTGACGGCATCCAACTTCACGCTGCTCACGGCTACCTTCTCAGTCAATTTCTGTCGGAAACCACCAATTTCAGAACCGACCAATACGGGGGTAGCCTTGCTAATCGAATGCGCTTGATTCTCGAAATTCGTGATGCGGTCGCTAGGCGGGTGCGACCTAGCTTCATCGTGGGAATTAAGGTCAATAGTGTAGAATTCCAAGCCAAGGGCTTCCAACCTGAAGAGGCTCGAGAGCTTTGCGCCTCCCTAGAGGCTCACAAATTTGACTTCGTCGAGCTTTCAGGCGGAACTTATGAGAACTGGCAAATGAATAACGATACTAAGCGGGAGTCTACTAAGCGACGGGAAGCAGTATGTTTTCGCTCTCTTTCTCCCGCCGAATGAAACTCACATCTGCTAATAAACATTATAGTTTTTCCTGGACTTTGCCCAGCAGATCGTCTCCGGTCTTTCCAAGACGAAGTCTTATTTGACGGGTGGATTCCGATCTGCCGAAGGAATGGTCAAGGCCCTCCACACCATTGACGGGGTGGGGCTTGCTCGTCCTCTATGCCAGGAGCCATTTCTGTGTTCTCAGATTCTCGCTAGAAAGACGGCGGCTGCCCTCACACCAATCATTAATCAGTATGACTTTGGCTTGACGGCCGTGGCAGCATGCATCCAGATAAGACAGATGGGGAACAATCTCCTCCCAGTGAACCTCGCCGCGCAGGATGAAGTGGACATCCTTACCAAGGCTATTGGGGAATGGACACAAAGAAAGCAGAACGATCGTTCCCAGGAGGCTATTTATCCTCCCGTTTTGCCAGGATATTCGGTCGCGCTTTTAGCCTAGGACGGACAAGAACATAGGCATCAGGGATGTCATTCGCAATATTGTTTTCTGGTACTGAATCACTCTTTGGCACGTGGTATAGAATTTTGACCGCGAATCAATGTTAGAAGCAGATGATCGTTTTTGCGAGATGTAACAAATGGTTATTAAAGCAAGCTCCAAGAAGAACAATATAATTATTATTGGAATTATGCTTCCCGCATACTGAGTCCAGAAGAGATGTTTCATCAATATCAGAGGACACGTCAAACTGTCAGACACTAATTCCAGAAGCGAAGAACGACAGTTTCAAGACTGCACAAGTAATCTCATCGAATAATGCAATTTCCAATCATGGACTGATGATGATAAGTTAGTGAATCTAATAGAAAGCGAAGTTCTGTCCGCTCATACCCAGGATGTCTATCAATGTGTAGAGAAAACGTGTATTGGCCGATACCGATGTGACAAGAGTTTCTTTAGGTAGAGGCCGACTGAAAAATGAGTTTCTTTTTTTCAAAAACTCTACTCTCCAGGTCTCGCATTCTCGGGAAGTTGCCGCCGAAAGTTATCCATCCAATTGGGGTTATCGGCTATCGTTTGGTTCCAAGCATCCTCGCAGTCATATATAACCCGTCGGGCCTCCAATTGAAACATTTCGTCTGTGGGAGTTATCCCCTGTTGCATATGCACCCGAGCAAATTGAGCGAGGTGCCGAGCGAGAATGTCAGAGAATGTTCGCGGTGGTGAGCTCTCCCGAGGTTCGTCCTCAGCCGGTGAGCGGGTAGAGGCTCCAGCTACGGGCCCCAAAGCTTGACTGAGACTATTCGTATGGGATGTAATTTGCTCATAGTGATCTCGAGTACTGGCCGAGGAGGCCGAAAATGGCTGTTGCGATCGTGATTCATCTCCAATGAGGTATGGCGGTATACAGTTCTGGGCCAAAGCTGCAATTGATGGTGGAAATTCGTGCTCGCCTTGCCAGTCTCGCATTGCGAAGCCCTTTCGGAAGTGCCCTGCCAAATGGTCGACTCTTTCTTTCCAGCTATCCAATCGATGGTTACAGAAGCCGCAGCGGCAAGTGAAAGAGGACGTCTCTTGGCGCCATCTGTCGAGTGGGGGGATCTCTTTGAGTCGATGCAACGCGCGGAGATGCTGCACTAGATGATCCTTGCGGGCGAATACGCGTGACTCTCCAGCGCATGCATTATGGTTATGTTCATCAAGATGCTGCGGTGTCGGAGCTGGGAAACCACAGTAGGCGCATTGCGGCTCTCCCGCCGTGGACAGTCCCAACCCGTCTCTTGGGGCACAGGTCCAGGTCTCTAAATTGAGATGGAGAGACTTTTCATGGCGAGCCCAATCGTATTTACTCCTGAAAGAGTCGCAGCAAAAGGTACAGGCAAAAATACGAGGTTTTTCACCAAACGGCCTCTTAATACGACCCCTCCGCCGACCCCGCGCTTGCGCCATTGGACCTCGATTGACGGAGTTTGTAGATTGTTCCAACCGACCGGATTCGTGTGAGGTCCCCGAAGATAGGCTGCTAGTGTTGGAACTGGCAATAGAGCGTGACTTTCGGGCACGACCGACGGAAGCACTTTCATACGCCGGGTTATCTGAATGCGAGAGCTGACCATTTGGATCCTTCAGCGCGCGTACTATGGCGGCAATAGGAGCCGCTTCCTGATCGGGTGGGCTATAGCGCCATCTTTGTAAGGGATCAGGGGATGGCTCTGAGGCAGGAATTTGAATCGGCCTGGTTTCTCGTCCTTCCCTCTGGAAACGATAGCGACTTCTCCGGCGTGGAAGCGACGTTTGTTGAGGCAGACTCAAGCTCTGATGCACGGTATGGAAGAGTGGGTTCGCATGGAACTGACTATCACCTACGGTAGGAATATTTAGATCTGTGTCGATGTTGTTATATGATGAATCGCCGAACTCATGTCCTGGTGCATGGCTAGCCGTGATACCTTGCTGATGATCGCGACTCTTATTGTCCGTAATTAACACCTCTGCGCTGTTGCTCTGGTTGTAAATTGAAGTGCCTTGCCAAGCAGCTGACTGTTGACTAGTTAGAGGCAATGCATCCACATTGCCACCGAGGGATTGCTGAACGGTCGCATTCTGCCCAAACCAGGAACCGGAAGACTGCGAAATAGAATCCTCGCCGAGGTTGCTTGCTGACACATCATTCTGTGAATTAATTGAGAAAGGAGATCTTGCAGGCTGACTTTTGATTTTCGAGTGAGTTCAGGCCGAAAAGTGGGATGAAAGGCAGACCAACCGCGGAGACTCATCCATGCGCCGTTCGTCAACTATTTTGGCCACATACGAGCGGAAAGGACGAGGAAACGGATCTTCGATCCCATTCATACCTGGGGATCATTAAGGTCCTAAGTTCGTTGCGATGTTCGCGTCTGGGTCGTGTTTCGCGACTTACGTGATCACAGCATTCTAGGGAAAGGTTAGATGTACTAAAGTCAAGGTCACTGCAATGATCATAGCGAACCCACTCTGTACTAGCGCCACCACGGGACACTTGCAAGCTAAGCTCCAGAGTACGTACTCGTAGTAGGGCGTTGAGATTGGACGGGGGGAGTTAAATACCTAGGGCGCGAACGTAGGGCGTACCCGCCAAGTGGCGCCGTATCAAATCCCGACATCGTTCTGTCATCATGTATTGTATTAATACAACTGATCTATACTTCCAAACGGTTGCGACATGCTGGATATGGTATCACTGCGCAGCCTGCTAGTCCGAGACTAGTGCTGAATGGAAACGCAGTCCTGTATCGCACTGGAATACACGAACAACCAAGATCACGTCCAAGTTTACCTCTTCCAGAAGCTTCGCGACAAGGTCTGTGTTGTTAATCATGCCCACAGAAACCAACCAGCAATCTATCTCCGGATGCGCGCTTTACAGCAGCAGCGAAGGGCGCCTGGAACGCCGGTCTGCCCTTGATCTTTGCGCGTGGAGTACACGGTCGCTGCTAGACAGTATTCTGTGAACACGACTGTCCTGAGGTCGGTGGCTCAAATGCGAAAGAAATTGGGCACGTTAGAACCGACGACATCGCGTGTAAGCTATGCGACCTCCAGAAAAGGGCGACTGGGATTCATAAAGCTGCCGCCATATTCATCCGTGAGGGTATTCGAAGAAGAACTGAGGAACGACGGGAGCAGGTATCCGTGGGAAGCGTAAAATTCAATGAGATCGACAGTGACCATAAGCGCCCCATAAACAGACGCTGAGGCACGAGATGCCCCTCTGCGAACAGGCGATAGTGGGTGGCAGAGGAACAGTTCATATCACAACTAAAACTAGGCAAATCTTTAGAATGATATAAGCTTTATTTACTATAGATATAAGAATCTTGATCTAGTTTAGCTTAATTCATGTCAAATATATCAGCAGTCACGAATGGACTTTTATTTAAAAAAAAAAAAAATAAATAAATAAATAATAGGATATGATAAGATAAAGCACAGTTAGATTGGATTCTAAGAATTCTTAATACGATCCAACGCAACAGGAAGAAATGTGACATCACCCGTGACATCAAAATACGATCGTCTACTACCACCCTCACCAACTTCACCCGGACTGGAAAATGACCTTTCAGATAAGTAAAAATACGAGATGGCGTCCGTGCCAACCATCCAGGGCCTTGTCAATGAAATTAAGAAGTATTATATAGCCAATCGAGCAACCTCGCATATCAAAAACCTCTAGACCGTGCGTTGGCAGGCCAGTTGCGGGTGGAACGTCAGCATTGCTACGTTGTATTCTTTGAAAGCTAGCTCATTCAAACTTTTCTTTCTTTCTTTCTTTCTTTCTTTCTTTCTTTTTTTCTTTCTTTTTTTCGTTGTTAACAACACGCATTACTTCTTCTAATACGGGGTCGATATATTCAATGTTGAGACGAAGACAGGTGACTGCGAATTCAGCGCATGATAGTCTCGACCCTAGACAAGATTGGATATGGAGACGTGGCATGATGGGGGTTGATCTGAGATCGCTGTCCGGAGTACTGAATGAATACTTACTGTTAGCTCCAAGTGGAGCTTAAGATTAGTGATCAGTTTGCCCCTTGGAATTTAACCTGAAGAGGAGCATCTTCTGCGGGTTTAGCCGAGGTAGGCCCATTTCTTCACAAGACAAATGGTTCTGGACCACGCGAACAGGATATACGAGGGATGTGAAAGACTCTTGCACAACACACACCGGACATCGCCCATCAGGTACATATAGGACAAGGATAAGGACAAATCAGAATCGAGATATTCTAATCGTCGGTTGTAGATCTCGCTTGAAAGGTGGTTTTAATATTCAATCGTGTCGCATGCACTCGGCGTCCGATCGGTAAATCGGCTTACCGCAAGGGGCAGAAGCCTCGGTATAATCGTCTCCCCGTAATGAAGGTCCCATGATTGGCGCACATTATCTTCACTCTATAAAACTATTATAGAATGGCATATCTTTCCCCGCAAAAATAATTTTAGTCCTCCCCCTCCCCCCCAGAAATAACTTCCTTTCATCGTGGTGGGTGAGAAAAGAAAATCAGAATCAGAATCACCATGTCGAAAACATTCTCCCGCGCCGAGGTCGCCAAACACAACACCGAAGACTCTGTCTGGTGCATCATCGACCACCGAGTCTATGACCTCACAGATTTCCTCGACGCCCACCCCGGCGGTAGCGTTGTCCTCAACCAAGTCGCCGGTCAAGATGCGACCGCCGAATTCTACAACCTCCACCGTCAAGAAGTCCTCGAGAAATACCGTGATGACCTCTGCATCGGAACCGTAGAGGGCGAAACCCCCGACATTGCGCCCCGCGAACCCGGTAGTCTCAGCGAAGTCCCCTATGCCGAGCCCCTCTGGTTGCGTCCCGATTTCAAGAACCCTTACTACAAGGAGAGCCATCGGCGGTTGCAGCGCGCTATCCGCGAGTTCACCGATCGTTATATCTACCCCGAGGCGCAGGAGAAGGAGAAGGATGGCACATATATCAGTCAGGAGTTGATCGATCGCATGGCGGAGGCTGGCATTTTGGCCATGCGTTTGGGTCCCGGAAAACATTTGCATGGTCGCAAATTGCTGGGTGGTGCTGTTGATGGAAAGGAGTTCGACTATCTGCATGATTTGATTGTTTCGCAGGAACTGAGTCGCGCAAATGCCAGAGGTAGGTTTGATCTTTGGCGATCACTATCGTGGAGAGGTGTTGCTTAATATACTAACGGTTGGCAGGCTTCTCGGACGGAAACATGGCTGGTATGGCTATTAGTTTGACTGCCGTTCAGCAGTGGCTGCGCAATGTCCCTCTTCGCGACCAGATCACCGACGAGGTTCTGTCGGGCAGAAAGAAGATGTGTCTTGCCATCACTGAAGCTTTCGCCGGTAGTGACGTGGCTGGCCTGCGCACCACGGCGACAAAGACTCCCGATGGCAAGCACTACATCATCAACGGCACCAAGTACGATCCCTGCTATTTACAGAGCCACAACATTGCTAACAATTCTGTAGGAAGTGGATCACCAACGGCATGTTCGCCGACTACTTCGTTGTGGGCTGCAGGACCGAGAAGGGCTTCTCGGTGATTTTGGTCCCCCGCGGTGAGGGCGTCGAGACTAAGCTGATCAAGACCTCCTACTCGACCGCCGCCGGTACGGCATACATTCAGTTCGAGAACGTCAAAGTTCCTGTCGAGAACCTGCTGGGCGAGGAACACAAGGGCTTCATTGTCATCATGAGCAACTTCAACCACGAGCGTTTCATGATGGCCTGCGGTACGATCCGCATGGCCATGACCGTGGTCGAGGAGTGCATGAAATGGTGCAACCAGCGTATTGTCTTTGGCAAGAAGCTGATTGAACAGCCTGTTATGCGACAAAAGTAATTACTATTCCCATTTTTCAAAAAGAATGGAAATGCTAACTTTAAACAGACTCGCCCGAATGATCTCTCTCTGCGAATCCAACCAAGCTTGGCTGGAATCCATCGCCTACCAGATGTGCAACATGACCTACAAGGAACAAGCGACGCATCTGGGTGGCCCCATCGGTCTGCTCAAATCACACGCAACCCGCGCCGCGCAGGAGATTGCTGAGCAAGCGACGAACATCTTTGGTGGTCGTGGTCTGACCCAGACCGGTATGGGTAAGGTCATCGAAATGTTCCATCGCACGTACAAGTTTGACGCGATCCTGGGTGGAACTGAGGAGATTCTGGCCGATTTGGGCGTGCGGCAGGCTATGAAGAAATTCCCCAAGGCGATGTTGTAAAATATGTACTTCAGGATTTAGATACCATAAACTTTTGTTATGTTGTTCGATCTGGGCTTTCTAGGGCTGCATTTTCCTATTTCATGCCTACACGAGACACGTAGAATGTCACCGGTTGGCATTCCCTTGGTCATAATGGTAGCCGAGAAACACGCCAGTACATTGCAAACAATGTTTCTATCTGTATCGCAATACCCATAGTTCTACTCGATGTATATGATGTAAGTCATAAACCCATTTCCTGCTTAGAATCCCCTCTTTCCAATCATTGGTTCGACTGTTGCTCCGGATCCATACTCGTCTCAATTTTCTTGATCACCCTTGCCGGATTCCCAGCAGCGAAGTGAAAAGCTGGCACATCCTAGCGAGAAAGTTAGCAACCTACCATAACGATGGCGAAAAAGAAAGAGAAAAGCATACCCTGGTAACAACACTCCCAGCACCAACGGTACTCCCCCGTCCGATTCTAACACCCCCCAAAATAATCACACTGCCGCCAATCCAAACATCATCCTCAATATGCACCTCCTTACCCGCCTCCGGGCCCTCGAGTCCGCGTCGCACAGCAGGATCTATCGGATGCGTGGCACCATAGATACTTACATTCGGGCCGAAGAGCACGCGTTCCCCGATTGTCACAAGACAGGTATCCAGGACGATCAGGTTGAAGTTGAGGAATGTCCCCTTTCCAACTTTGAAATTGAGACCGTGGTCGACGGAGATGGGGGGATCGACCACGGGGTCTGTGTCTTTGAATTGGTCTTCGTCTTCTTTGGCATCCGCCAGAGGTGGTGGGAGAGAACGGGTATCTCCAATTATACTAGATAGTCATTAGTAGTTATTGCTAGTGGGGATGGGAGATTAAACAAACATACTCTCTCCATAATTCCACCCTGCGCCGTCTAGATACTTGTCCAGCTTCGTTGAATCGTTGACATGCTAATTTGCATCGCTCGCGGTTGGCCTGTAGATCCTCGTCCCAGGCCCAGTATAGCTCGCCATTGAGCATCTTCTGCCATTCTTTAGAGGTGGCCATTGTGACGGTGTGTAATTCCGAGTATAGATTCGTTAGTGATGAGAATTGGAATCTGTCTAACGTATGTACAAGGAAATCCTTGTTTTTATACTACTATGCAAAATCTACTCCAAGTCCTGCCCCGCCCCCGCCACCTTGAATCCAAAAACGTTCGGGGGCTTTCGGGGTTGGAAGAATTGCTCGAATTGGCAGTGGATGCAGGTTGAAGCTGTTACTCTATTAGGAAGGTAAGGCCGTCGGTTGGAGTTTAGCGTTGTAGTCCATCTAACCTGGAATGAACTAGTCTGTAGCCCTGCAACTCTTGGCGCTCTTGGCGTTGGCTGATTTATCTACTGAAATGAGTATCTTGCAAATGTGGCGGTGACCCTCATATGGCCTTCGTTCTCACGAGTTCATCGTATTTTCTATAATGGGGCTTCCTGTTGCTAGAGACTCCGCTGGCTTACATGATGGCTCACCAGGAAACCAAGGTATATAAAGCAGGGGGGCGTCTGGTCTACCTTTGACCTAAACGTATACCTTGAACCAACCACCCGACGATTGCATATAACCATGTGTGTGCCATCGCTGACAGTATCATCAAATTCCTTTCCATGCACCACAGCACTGGTCAATGTCTCCAGACCACCACATGATACCTTTGAGAGTCATGCTCGTTACACCCCACCCCGGGACTTCACACGAGCACTATACATTCCTCGTCACGACTCAATGACTTGCCATCTCCCTCTGTATAATATTGCCGAGAGGTATCGGGATTTCATTGAAGATACGGTTTTCGGTAGCTATCTGCACTCGGTCAAATTGAGTTATATGGATAAGCCAAGGGGTAACGACATGAATGCGAGGGTGGAATATTTGGTCGACGCCAGCAAAAACGAAGAAGATGTTGTAGAGCTGCAAGTTCGGCGCAGAAGCTTAAACCAGAACGATGACATCAAAGCCAATGCGTGGGTGCTGTCTAGGGATTTCAGAGAATGCCAACGCTAACCCTGCTAGTCTAGTTACCTCGTCTGGTAGCCCCGAATTCTTCCTTGTGGCCGATCAGCGCGAATGCGCCAGTGGTCCGATGACGATATCTTTTCCCATCGAACCAAGTGTGAGAGGAGAATACAGGGTTCCGCACCCTTATTTCACTTGGCGTCTCCCAGATCACAAAGAAAATCCTGGGAAACTAGTTCAATGGCAAGTCCATCCAGGACCAAACAGCCTGTTCCGCTACACATTGGTCAATCTGGAAGAACCTGAGATACTCGCAATTTATATTCATGTTGGCATTGTCGTGTGGCTACCTACGGACTTCAGCGAAGGTGTGCTCTTGCTCCCTGAAAGCGGTGGGCAAGAGCAGGAAGCCGTTGTGATAGCGAGCTTATTGACGATGTTGCACCGATTACGTGAAGAGAAATCGATGCGCCCCAGCAGGGACAGTTCAACTTCAAAATTAGCGAGGAGGTTTGTTTCCAAACTGCGCCTGCGTTAACCACAAGGCTGAGGGTATGAAAGCCTCAACACCCGACTGGGACTATACGAGAGATAAACGTGTTAGCCATGGGTATACGGCCTCAGTCAACAGCTTCTAGGCTTTATATTCATGTTCCTTCTTCTTTGTTCTTGGTATTTCTCCTTTCTCTTTTCTATTGTTTTTTGTTCTCTTTCCTTGTATACTATGATGAGACGCGCATGACCTCCAAAAGAATTCCAATGTCTTCTCACTTCGGGAAGCTCTTAATAGCAATTTGCCTAGGTCATATAACAATTAATTTATGTTTTAAATAATAAGATAGTCATGTTGTCGTGTAATTCCAGGACAGTGAGTCTTAGCAACGTTAGTTGGGTCTCGAGGAAGTGAATATTTTCAGTAGACAACAACTTACAAAGCTTGTCCAGGAGATGTTTCTATCTTCGTCAGTTGCTTGAGCAGCACGAGCAGCCCATACCTTCTCTAAAATGTCTCGAGGCACTGGGTTGCGGATCTCAGATCTCCTTTCAATCTCTTTGAGTCGGGATAGAATGTAATACTGTGAATGTGGTGCAAGAGCGTCTGCCCCCGCCATGAAAAGAGGTAAAATGAGTAGTTCGATCAATGGACAGTCCGAAGATATGGTGGCGGTAGCATCTAAGATCCGGGCCACACAGTCTTGTATCTCCGGGCTTTTCGCCGGACGGGAATCGTCAAGTAAACGAAGGATGCGTAGTATGCATGCGAACCGGAAAATCTCCGCTACTGCCAGCCAACGAGGGTCAGTGCTGGGATATATCTTCTCGTTGCTATCCCATGAGTAGAGCTTGTGTTTGGCCACGAGCATGGCTATCTGATATTCATCCCATGTGAGCCACCCCAGTGTGTGCTCTTTGGACTTTTCCAGAATACCACCAATAATCAGAAACACTTCCCGAGGACATCCGTTTACCATCTCGAACGTGTTTTCACTCGCACATGCAACCAGTTCTCGGATATCTTGAGAGAAGCAGAGTCGTTCTGGCCCTGCAAAAGCGCGGATAACATCGAGCCTTCAAAGTATTAGCACGTATCGAAACAGTAGGCTGTCCAGATACCCTACCAGGCAAGGTTGCCGAGAAAGAATACAGCCCGCCGACGGTGGCCACTTAGTCCCTCGGAAATCAATAATCGCTTGCAGACAGACATAGCTCCCGTTATATGAATTCCATGAGTCGAAATTCCAGACTCGGCTATCTTATTCGACGGTCAGGTCCTCATAATAGAAGGGTGATGCTTTCTGCTCTCAACCACACATACTTACATCATGAAGTAATAGAATCTGAATGATGGCAAGAACGGCATCTTGCTCGTCTTCCAGTAAAGTTGATGCTTGACTCCTGCGGATCTCTTCACTGAGGGCCCGTATAGCTTTCATGCGATATTCCACTGCAGTGGCTTCGTGCATAGTTTGATTCCCCGTCAACTGCCCGAGATGCGAAGCGGAAAAGCCAAGTACAGCGTATAGTAAGCCAATTTGCTTTCGGGCTAACGGAAGAATATATAATCGGTACGGGTTATCGCTCTCATTACCAATCTCAGAGATCTGATGCGGACATATAAACTCGTCATCTAGAAGGTCATTATCATGTTTGTTAAGGATGCATGGACAACGACTACACTTACAATGAGTGAGAAGTGTCTCGGTTTCAGGCAGTCTAAGTATCTCTGCGATTTCGTTGGATATCTCTTGTGTATCCGCATTGAGTTTGTCCGAGCGTGGCGGCGGGTAGGCTTCCTCCGGGGGTGTCGGAGCCGCATTCGTAGTTTGCTGCTGATGGACACCTTGCTCCATGTTTGCTCTATCCGCCGCATTTCGAGGTCTTTGGGTGCTCACCGGTATCCGGGCTCCTTTCCATTTTCCTCGACTAGCAATGCCACAAAATCTGAACTGCTCCGGATACCCTCCACATACTAGACCTTTCGATATGCAGCGCTGACAATTGGGACGCGCACGATCGCACTTTCGGCACTTCTCCCTGCATGTCAGGCATGCAGGCCCTACGTTGTAGTATTATGTCAGGCTGATCCTTTCGACAGAGAATCACTGTTACGTACCGGTCCGGGGCATTTCTACCAATCTACCAGGATAGGCGATTGGATGACATCACTCAGAGCATACTTCGCCAAGTGGAGTTCGTGAAATAAGTTGGGACACAGTTTCGACGGATCGTATCGTGCAAAGTCTGTTACCAGATGAGTTCATGATAGGCTGAGATCACATGCTGGCCTTTTTGCCCCTTCCGGTATTTTGTGGGTCTGCCAATCAATTGACTCTTCTGGGCATCTGATATTAGTTGTAGTCAAGGTGGTAGTTCCTCGATTGGCATGTTCCACCGGAGCTAGGTAAGCTTATGCACAGCTTGTATTGAGCATCTTTGCGATATGCTAGCGAAATAACTTCATGTTATCGCTCCATGGTGGCTCACTGTTTCGGTTCCAAGCAGACCACTCGTGTTCCACCTGTGGTAAGATGAATGGATCATGAAACCGCCAGCATAGAGAAAGAACACAGTTCAGCAGTCTGTTCTACCATTTATATCAGGAATTAGAGCTCTAGCAATCCGTACCAAATCAGATCTTGGTAAAGGGTATATGTATGGTCTGGATCGGGGAACAAATACCAAAGTACCTCTTGTGGCCCGCCGTGACAGATCGACCTTACTTCCTTCGGCTTAGCGCGGGCGCATACGTTCTGCCTATCAACACGTGAGTTTCCCGATAAGCCAAGGGCGCTTCAGCCTTCCCACATCATCATTGCCTCATATACCTACCTACCTGCTCCCACATTCTTTGAACCAACGAATACTCAATATGGCCGGAAATATCGATGTCCTACGGGCCGAGAATGTTGTGGATATTGCCCAGAAGGCTCTACAGGGAGACGGAAGTATCGAGTACAGTCTCAAGACTCCTTACGAAGCGGTTGCTCTCATCGGCCATGCATGTATGCTGGCTGTGAACTTTCGCCTTGTGGGCCTTGGTGAAGAACACACGATAGGTTTGTGTTTTTAGTTTATTCATGCGCTGTTAATTTCTTCGATTTCTCTGCTCCTTGCTAATATTTGGGAACCACCAGAAGGTTCGTCGGAGAGCCCATCTCTTCCGCCAGGATGGAATGCGAACGATACATTCTCCTTCCGTTACGCTCATTCGCAGTCTTCGATGCAGTATCTGCTCAAAGTCAGCCGGATAGGAAATAACGCCCTTGTTTTCGCCCTAGCACTAGGTGATGACAAAACCACTTCCTTTGACATTCCAGTCAAAGATTTTATTTCTGCGTCCTCTTTGCCTGTTTCATCATCAACCGAGTCAAACGCCACCGTCAGGGAAGTGTTCATATCTACACCGCGCTTGACCGATTTGATTGGGCTATTCAAGATAAATGTGATCCAAAAGCTCGCTCCAGGAATATACAAGGAGGGATATGAGGCCACGAGTCAGTCCGTACGGGAACAGCCACAAGAGAGACCCCCACGGCGCGACCCATTGCGAGATGATCAACTCCCCCAGCCCGCGCGCCCGTATCCATTTGACGATCCCCTGGCGACAGGGCCTCGGCGACCGGCCCCTCCTGGAGACTTTGCACCACCTGGATTCGAGGATGAGTACGAAATCCAGAGACCGCCTCGCGGATATCCTCTCGGTATGGGAGGCAGAAACCCACTCAATATCGGAGATCGAGATTTGTATCCTCCTGGACTAGGCCCTCATGACCCTCTCAGAGGAGGCATTGGACCAGGACTTGGCGGAGGCGGAGGCGGAGGTATGCACCCAACTTTTGATGATCCTCTGTTTGGCGGTCCGCAGGGGGGAGGATATGATCCGCAGGCGCCACCTGGCGCCCGATATGATCCTGTCGGGCCAGGATTTGGAGCGCCTTTCGGGCGAGGACGCGGTCCTCCCGGAGGACGTGGCGCCGGCGGGAGCGGAGGATTTGGTGGGTTTGGGTTTGGCGGTGACATCATCTAAGCGCGCGGTTAAGCTCCGTGTAGCTGTCGGTCTAACTTAGTCGGGCAGAAACAGATTCTACGACATGATGACAGATTGGGAGACATAGTTGCCTCCGGTAATGACTTTGTAACGAAGGCTTATGTATTTTAATGGTACAGATAATTGAACACTATCTCAGTCCCACGGTTGTGCAAAATCTGTGGCCACTTCGTAATTCTGAGCAAGTAGAGGTAGAGATTTCCAGGTGTGGCGGGGTTGGCGATGCTTTGGAGATCCCGGGGGAGGTGTGGCTGGTGGCTTGCGGCCTGAGTGCAGTGTGGCGCACGGACCAACCAGAGCGCAGAGAGGCAGCGACCAAACCTGCACGGCCAGCACCAAACCTCAGTCCAAACCTCCCTTCCACTCTTCCTCCTTCCCCTCCAACCCCCATTATCAACTTCATCCCCATCTACACAACCACCGCCGTCGCAATCGGTGTTTGTCCTATTAGAATATATTCTCATTTTCCAATTCTGTTGTTCCTTTAATTTCTTGTATTTTCCTCTAACACGTCACCCTCACCGCCAGCCTCACGAGACCCTCCCACTCTCAGTGTTCCGCCCCTCCTCACCCACAAACATCCGAGCGTCCTACCCCTTAACGCGTTGTCTGGCATCACTCTAAATGGACAACAATATGGAAATCGATACCGCACGGTCTCCCGAGCCCCACCGCCTGTCGCCGACGTCTGACCCTGGGTCGATACCGACACTGGACGGATGGATTGAAAATTTGATGAGCTGCAAGCAACTAGCGGAGGAGGATGTGCGGAGGCTGTGTGATCGGGTGTGTTGCTATCCAGGGTTTACAGACTTTGGTGCGGGTTGTGGGAGTGACTAATTTTGGGATACAGGCAAGAGAGGTGTTGCAGGAAGAATCCAATGTGCAGCCAGTTGTATGTGCTATTGTGTTGACTGCCTCCCTTTATCGCGAGCTGAGCAACGCGACCGGTCGGATGTTGACTTAGCCATTACAGAAATGCCCAGTAACTGTGTGTGGTGATATACACGGCCAGTTTCATGACCTAATGGAACTGTTCCGCATCGGAGGCCCGAATCCAGACACAAACTATTTGTTTATGGGTACGTTCCCGTGTCGGTGTCTTTGGTTGGGTCCCTCTAACGATCCTTGCCTTTACTAGGTGACTATGTCGACCGTGGTTATTACTCCGTAGAGACCGTCACCCTCCTTGTTTGCCTTAAAATCCGTTACCCCCAGCGTATCACCATCCTCCGTGGAAACCACGAGTCCCGCCAGATTACTCAAGTTTATGGATTTTACGACGAGTGCTTGCGTAAATATGGCAATGCCAATGTCTGGAAATACTTCACTGATCTTTTCGATTACTTACCCCTCACCGCACTCATCGAAAACCAGATCTTCTGCCTCCACGGCGGCCTGAGTCCGTCTATCGACACGCTTGACAACATTCGGTCCCTGGATCGGATCCAGGAGGTCCCCCACGAGGGACCGATGTGCGACCTGCTGTGGAGTGACCCAGACGACCGATGTGGTTGGGGAATCTCGCCCCGTGGTGCTGGATACACCTTCGGGCAGGATATCTCGGAAGCATTTAATCATAACAACGGCTTGACTCTGGTTGCACGAGCACATCAGCTTGTAATGGAGGGATATAATTGGTCGCAGGATCGGAACGTAGTCACAATTTTCTCAGGTAGGTGCTCCGGTCATGATGCTTCGCCCCCGGGGCCATAGCTAATATGCGTTCCAGCGCCGAATTATTGCTACCGCTGCGGTAACCAAGCCGCGATTATGGAGATTGATGAGCATTTGAAGTATACATTGTATGTGGCTCTTTCATCTTCTTGAGAGGGGGAGTTTTCTGTTACTGACCGTTGATTGTTCCACAGCCTACAATTCGATCCTTGCCCCCGTGCAGGCGAGCCAATGGTCTCGAGGCGGACCCCCGACTATTTCCTGTGATTGAAAGTGATAGACTTCTCACCTCTGGCAAGATGAGGTTCTCCGACCCTTCGAGAGGGCTCCTGGGATTTGGAACTGCAGACGCGTCGGTCTGCCTAGATAATTGTATGTCTGTTTTCTGGGCCGTGTTGATACCATTCATGAAAATAAAAAGACATTCGCAAGAGTTTTGATTTTATCCTGCGTTTTGCGGTGGCTCTCTGTCTAATCAGAGTAATGGGGTTTTTCCGGGCAACTTTCTTGGATACAGGTGGTTATGGTTTGATGCTAGAACTTTTACCAGATACGCCCGCATTATGAACGGGGGGAGTGGGTATATTTGTTGATTACATTTGTCCTCTAGAAATAACGCGAATGGTGGACAACAATGAATTCCATGGCGAAGGCTCAATATCACAATCGTAGAGTATATAACACATGGTCACGTGTATCGTTGACACTCAGGTGAAGCCATTCAGACTCATGTGATTCCTTTTATTATTCTGCTTTCAAATTCTGGCTGCTAATATAACCCCGGAACTGGTGCAGGTGTCGGTTACTACAAACGTTGATCGCTTTTTAGTGAACTTTGCTAATCGCGCCGGTCAATATCTATTTAGTCGTTCGATTTCTCCAATCGATAGCGTGGGCTGTCAGGGAAATGCAGACTAACAATAATAATCGCAATACAAAAATGCTGAATATATATATGTATACTGCCTTTTAGTGACCTAGGCACTATTTATACCACCCAAATTAACTCTCATAAATCCAGGACTCTATACTAAGAAATATTATAAAACAAGGGTCTCACAGCACCAAAGAAATGCCAAGAAAGTACCTACGCTGAGCTCTAACCCGAAAAGAGCAGAGTCCTCCCGGATAATAAATCCCCCAACTAAAATACCTTAAATGTCCAAACCAGCCTCCTCCTTCAACCATCTCCATGATCCCCAACAAAAGAACTACACCACACACTACGCTCGACAAGAACTTGACCATCACATCATTCAAAGATACATGTATTGTTATACACTCATGCACCTCTACAGACAATAACCAATATCCAAAAACAAACGCACAATCGCTTAACCAAGCACGATAAAACAGACAAACATGGCTACATCATAGCTCATACCAATATTCCGTCTCGACTCAAACCCTCAGACCCTGCGCTTTCTTCGCCAAAAGCGCATCCACCTCATCCTTGTGCTTTGAGAAGTTGTCCACCAGATTATCCCACATGGCAGGCTCATGCTCGTGCCGCTTCTCGCTGTTCCACGCGTAGTCGGTGATGGTGAAGGCCCGGGAAGACTCGAACATGATTGCGATGGAGGCCTCTGAGATGCGCATGACCGGTGGTGGGGCCTCGCATGCGGCTTTGAATTCTTCGTAGGCGACGCCGTGGGGGACCACTTTTTTATTTCTGAGGTTAGGGGTCTTTCTTTCTCTTGGATGAGAGATACGGGGAGGATTGGAAGAAAAGACTTACTGCCACATTCGAAGGAGATACTTCCTGGTTTGAAGGCGTCGGAGCGGCCGCCGTAGTCGCCGTAGATGAGACCCATTAGCTCTGAGGCGGCATTGCGGTGGTAATATGGCGGACGGTAGGTGTCTATCTCCGGTTAGAATAGGTCTTCATGTCAAGACGGATGGGGGGATACATACTGGATGCGACGTCCCATCTGGGGGAGAAGATGAGGAAGTCGGCAAGAGGGGCGGTAGGGTCCCGGGATTTTGCGGTCAGAACGCAGAAGATGGAGGGATCAATGTGGTCGACTGAGATAGAGCCGACGTTGACGAATTTCGTCATATCGTATTTGTAGGGAACCTTGTTTGCGATCGTTAGCGTCATCGCACGAAAGGTGTTATAGTTGAACAAGAACGTACATAGTTACCGTGCCAGGCCACAACGTCAAATGGGCTGTGGTTCTGCGTGCTGGCAAAGAACTTGCCTCCGAGCTTGTATACGACTTCCCACGCCTCCTGGCGAATTTCATACTTGGCTACTGGGGCTAGGAAGTCCCGCGAATTGGCTAGACCGTTGGCGCCCAGCGGACCCAGTTCGGGGAGTTCATAGCAAGAACCCCAGACTTCGAGGATGTAACCGCGAGAAGGACCATCGGGGACCTCGACACGGAAGCGGATGCCGCGTGGAATAACGACAATCTCGCCCGGTTGGACGAAAAGTGGACCAAATTCGGTCTGGATGTCCAAGGCTCCCTGTTGGGGGACGATGAGCATCTCACCGTCGGAGTTTACAAAGGCTTTTTGCGTCATGCTAGTGTTTGCAGTGTAGACGTGAGTTGCCAGCCCCTCTCGGAGAGTGGGGTCTCCAGATCCAGCGACGGTCTTCAGACCGGTAACGAAGTCCACCGGTTCGCTGGCGGGGATATCGAATGGATGCCATGCCAGCTGGGTTGGGGAGACGTGAACCCGTGGGTTCAGGGGTAAGAAAGTGGCCTCTGTGTCGGGGTTGTCTGGAAGGTTTTTCTGTGTTGGGGCAGCGGTTAGCACGAGACGCCGGTTTGCCCTCATATAATGTGTAGTCGAATCCACATACGAATCCTTGATGAGCAACGGCCGGACGAGCACGGTAGAGCCACGCCTTCTTGTTCGCATGCCTCGGGGCCACAAAAGCAGTGGCTGTTACTTGCTCTGCATACAAGCCAAAGCGCACATTTCGAGGACTATTCTGTCCGTGGGGAATCGTTCCGGGCACAGCCTCGGAGATAAATCTGTTTGATGTAACCCACCCACATTAGCCCGCTTGAACCCCTCATGTGAAAAGAACTGATTGCGTACGTGTTACCAAATCCAGCTTGATACTGTTATTGAGTGTTAGGTTTTCATAACAACAGAGGGATTAATGAGCATCGCATACCTCGTAAGGGTCATTCCGGCGGGTGGAAAAGGAGGGAATTTCACCGTCTTTCTGTGTTTCCGCCCAATGGAAGATCTTCTGATATTCCTGGGGGTCGGAGAGTTTGCCTACTGAGCCCATGTTGAATGTAAATTAATGCGGGCTTAGGTTGAAGGAACAGAGAGTGATTCTCAGTGTAAAGATAGATGCGATCTCGCCGTGAAAAGAACTATACATCCCCGGGGGGGAGGGCAGCCCTCATATATTGACCCTGGTGGGGTCGCATCTCGCCCAGAAAAACACGAGAAGGATCACATTGCATGGTTGAACCCACCACATTCTGAGGCCAAGTGTATCATATGGTGTACATACTACGTACACTCTATCAGCTCTGTCCTCTACAATTCGGCAAATCGGGGAGACCTTCTGTTGCCGAGCCTCTCTTCCGGAGGGTAGGTTGGCAAGTGGAGACACCCAACTGATCGCCTCCACAAGCAGATCCGACCTCCACACATTGATGGGAGGCCTTTGTTTGACCCCACATGACTCAGGTCTGAGTAAACAGTGGGGAGTTTTGTCAGAATTCCACTGAACGGGATTGAAAGGTATACCTCATTGCCGAGACAGAGGACTCAAAGAGAAGGGAACACGGATGCACGGAACACGGCAAGATTTTGCGAAGAAAGTCATAGGGTGTGGATTACAGCATCAGGCAGTCCATTACGAATTACTTGAGTTACGCATTGAAACGCGGTGTATGCAGAGATGACTAAAATATCAAGATCTAACTAATGCAAGCTTGCGTCAGACGGTAGATTCCTAACACATTGAATTAGGGTCCTGCTCCGTCACATGTTACACCGAAACCACATCAGTAACAATTAATGTGGGGGCTGCTAGTAGGAAACAATTCTCAGGGCAAAAAATCACTCAAGAAAAGTGACAGCTCTGCTGAGCTGATTTACGATCTTATCCCGATATGTCTAAACAATATAGTGAGCATGGGGTCAACTTCAGATCCCAGGGTGAACACTTACTGCAGCTAAGGTCCAATTTCCAGCAGCAATGGCAGTCCTTAGACCAGGGAAAGCTTGTGTCTGGAAATAGTACGGGGCAGGGCCAATGATAAGATGGTAGCTTGCATCACCCCCCGGAAGATCTGGATCCCCGAGAAGACGCTCAAAATTAGTATATATGTGATTGACCGACCGGACCTGAGCAAGAAGGCTATCGTCAACAGGCTGTTGTTGCACTTGGTCGGCAAGCGAGTCGCTATGTGCGTCAAACACCGCCGAAGCCTGCGCGAAATCATCGATCACCGCCTTTAGCGACGTCAGATCAAGTTGTGCTGACAGGTTTGCTGTTGAGCTGAGTGAGTCGAGGCCGTCCTGTAAGACGGACGCATACCCGTGGACGCGGTAGGGCAGAATCGCCTCATCTGCAAGAGATGTCACCAGCTGTAACCAGATTTTGGTGGTTGCCACATGGTGCGCAAAGCCGGGATCTCCGTATTGTTCCATCCAGGAATACGTGTCGAATAGTGAATGGTAAGGGAAAATAGGATCTTTCGGCCCACGCGAGAAGCCAAAGTCCACAACGGAATATGCATATTCCAGAAAAACCATTGCGTCCCCGCCACTACCCAGACCGAGCTCATCCCCCCAAGCCTCTAGGACTGTTTGTTCACTGCTAGGTGCTTGAACTTGGCCGGTAGCATTGTGCATCGCTTGTGCCAACAGCGGGCTCCCTTGAGCATGAAACTTGGTGCCTGCGCCCGCAACAACCACATTTAAATATGCAGCAAGGCTACTGTTCATCTGGGACTTGTATTCACTCATCCATGGGCGCGACCCAATTTGGCCCACCTCCTCTCCCTCCCAACTGGCGAGGATGATTGTCCGTAACGGCTGCCAACCATTTTTAAGGGCCGTTGCGAGACTTCGTGCCACTTCATTCAGCGCCGCAGACCCACTGTTTCCATCTCCAGCACCAGGACCCCAGGCGTCACGATGATTTCCAAGAATAATCACCTCCTCTGGAAAGGCGCATCCCGGGATGGTCCCAATCACATCATGGACAGAGCCGACCAGATTTTGCGGGTTATTAATCACGTTCAAGACAACATTCTCCGGTGAAGGCCCGACATTGTACGTAACGCCGTGCGAGGTGAGCCCGCCTCCTTGCCATCTGTCATTGAAATCTGCTGCCAGGGGACCATGACCTTTGAGGGCTTTCAGAATAGGGAGCGCATCGGCATACGAGATAGGCATAGCGGGAATCACATTAGGTGCTGTATACAAGTTGTTAGAGCAATTAGATATTCGAGTGCAAGCTTATATGGATCCCAGGGAAACCTACTAAATTTACCAACAGATCCTCGCTCTATCAAAGATGGGGGCCGGGCTGGCCCATCTGGGAACGGCTGATATCCATTTTCTACGATAATTTCATCATCCATTTGAGGATCTGGATAGATCAGCATCGCCGCGAGACCCATCTGTGTAGCGACTGCTTCCTGTTTTGTGCGGTGATACGGCAGATTATATTTTTTCAAGACAGCAGATTCATACGTGGACTTGACCACTGCGATCTTCCCCGTGATGTTGACATTCGCGCGCACCAAGTCATCGTAATCCTCTTGCGTTCCATAGTTTGCGAATATGTACTGTGCGGTGACATTTCCGACCCCAGCACCTGAGAAGAAAGCCGGAATAAAGGACGGCTGTCCATCGCCAGCTTTAGGGGGATTGTCCTCAATCAACGGTGCTTCATACACGACTGGATCTTCCTCGCGTGTCGTGTCAAGCAACGCTACTCGATGCTCCTTGGGAAATGTTAGATTGGCGCTATAGGATTTCACGCTGGTGTTAGGGAGGCCAATTGCATCCCACAACTCCTTAGTCCACTGCGCCTGTTGAAGGCCCTGCCCTGCTAAATGTGACCCGTTGGTATAGTAGCGAACTGATTCGCGGATGCTGTCAGCATCAGGGACGGTCTGCAAAAGATCCTGGAGTGTTGTCGACGAAAGATTTTGTCTGCTCTTGCACTCCTGGAAGCTACTGATGTCCAATCGACTTCCATAGACACCAGAAACAGCCAGGAATAAGGTGGTCAGACCTGCCCAAGACATAATGGGGGGGAAAAAGAGTCAAGGGACAGCGGGGGTGGGGGACAAAACGAAAGAAGTCTCTGTCTTACCGATAATTATATTAATATTTGGCGCTCAGATCATGCATTAAATCCCTTGCTCATGCGAGAACCCCTTGCTGCCTCGCTAACAATTATACAATCCTGAAGAAAATGCCAAGAGCCCGACACTAGCATATTTTTGGCGATGCGTGCCACTTGAACTCAATTGATAGACTCCGGAGATATTATCCACTATATCACGGACTCCGACATGACATTGCGAGGGAAAAGCTATTTTAAACACTCCGTAGTTGGTATGCATGAATGGGCTGGCTGGCCGATGGTGGAAGATGGCGAAGATCTTTTCCATATATCGACTACTCAGTTCCATTTCTCAGCCGCAAGGGATTGGCGCAGTAGAAAAAAGCCGAGCACGTAATTTCGATGACAAAGGGAGAAAACAGTGAGTTTCGCTCTCTATGAAGCTTCGTCGAGACATACAGTGAACGTCAGACCTATACTTGTAGACCAAATTCCGGGTTCAGAAATGGCACCTCCGTCCAATTCTCAATGGAACGACGCCGAGAGAGCGAATGAAGAAACACCATTGCTCAGCGATCTCAAAGATCACCAGTCTCACATTCTTCCGCGGAAACAACTTCTTTTTGTCTTTCCTGCCTTGGCGCTGATCCATTTCACCTCGTTTCTGGATCAAACTGCCCTATCGACTTCATTACCTGCTATCGCTGCGGGACTAAACACCGGCTCATCCATCTCATGGGTCAGTGCTAGCTTCCTCACAACAAGCACCAGTATCCAGTTGATCAACGGTCGGCTGTCGGACATCTTCGGTCGTAAGACATGTCTCCTAGGCGCATTGACAATTATGGCGCTGGGCAACCTGCTGTCCGGATGTTCCCAGACACCCGCACAATTATATGCAACTAGAGCGTTTAGTGGCCTAGGTGCCGGGGCTATAAATGCGCTGGTGCAAATTGCTATCTCTGATATCACTACCCTGGAGCAACGCGGGTACTATTTTGGCATCTTGGGAGTTGCGGTGGCTCTAGGAAATGGGCTTGGTCCGGTCGTGGGCGGCGTGCTCACGGAAAAAACCTCCTGGCGCTGGGCATTTTGGTTCGTCTGTCCGTTGGCAGCGGCAGCCGCTACATATTTTGGCCTTGTGTTCCCACCGTCTAATATGGCCGATAATGTCTGGACGAAGCTGCGGAGGGTGGATTGGTTCGGGGTTTTGACGAGTATGATGGCTATTGTGCTGATTCTGGTACGTGCGACAGCACGACATGACTGCGCCGCTACACAGACATTAATTCAACCTTTAGGTCCCTGTTTCTCAAGGAGGCTCCGCTATTCCATGGAACTCTCCTATAATTATTGCCATGTTAGCGCTCGGAGCGGCGCTCTTCGGGCTCTTTCTGATCGGAGAGTGGCGATGGGTCAAACTGCCGCTTTTGCCCAGTATGCTATCCATTCACGTATATTCATCCTCGTATGCTGACTGTCCAAGTGCGCTTATTCAAATACAACTACTCTACGAACATCCTTCTGGCCGTTAACATCCTGATCGGCTGGGTATTCTGGGGAAATCTCTTCTATATCCCGCTGTATTTCCAGAATGTCCGCGGCTGGAGCCCGGGAACAGCTGGTTCTTTGATCCTGCCGATGGTGATTGCGCACGGCATAACATCAGGTCTAAGTGGGCTCATAATCTCGTGGACAGGCAAGTATAAGGTCGTAATCAGCACCGGCGTTGGCATGTGGATGATCGCAGCAGCGGCCAAGTCCTTCTATACACAGCAGACGCCACTGTGGATTCTGGAACTAGGAGGGATCTTCGAAGGTATCGGGGTGGGATGTTCCTTTCAGCCTGGTATACATACACATATCCCCTACAACAAGACCAGACTAACACAAGCCACAGTAATGGTCGGTCTACTCGCAGGGTCCGATAAAAGCGACCGTGCCGTAGTCACAGGCTTTCGCAACTTCATCCGCGACATGGGCGGATCTGTCGGCGTAACAGGTACTGTTTCTCCCAACATTTACCTTATTCACGACTAACAAAAGGGGTAGTCTCCGGGGCAATCCTCAATAACGTCCTCCACAATGATCTCAAAGGACGATTCAGCGAAGAACTCATTTCCAAGATCACATCTTCCGCCTTCGCCTTGCACGATTACAACCTCACTGACGAGGACAAAGGACTGATCTCCAATGCATATATGCACGGCTTGCGATCTGTCTTTACTGTGTTCGCGATTTTGATCATGCTTTTTTTTGCGCTGACTTTGTGCATCAAGGATTATGGACTAGCTGGTAGGGCGCGCGTTGAGAGCGAGGAACATGCTGAAGAGCAGAGGTACACTGATGAGTAACTTGACTTGTGAAACTTCTGATGGGCTGTAACCTTTGTACGAGTCAGGCTGTTTTATTATTTTGCTTGCTTGAGTGTTTCCCTGAAGGCTTTATACAGGACAGCAATTGGCAAGAAAGAATTGCAGCTGATCTAGATATACCAAATAGAACACATATCACAACCATAATCTCTGTTAATCTCTGAAAGCAGCAGAGGCAGTGGGACTGGGACACTTTATTTGAGCCAGCACTATGCGTCTACTACACTGCTCTCCTGGAGGTGATCCTCATACTTTGTACTTTTCAAATAAGCAAGCCACAAGAAATAAACCGAAAACTAGATGTATTTCACTCCACACTCATTCACCTCATATAACCCTGCGTAATACAGCGATTACGGCTTTCTAAAAAATCACACATGAGTAACAAACACGCAAAAACAAAAGATAAGCATAGAAATAGATATAAGAAGAGAAATAAACCAAATGCAAGAGCATCAATCATCAAGTCCCCTCCCCCCAAAAAGACCAACAACCACTCTAATCAAGCCCAAACGGCCTAGCATCCCATCTCACACGCTTCAGATGTCTCCGAGGATCCTTCACCTGATTCCGTCCATGCAACCACCGCCTATTATCCATGATGACGATAGAACCCCTCGGCATCATTTCCGCCGTGAGATGGACAACCTCCGACTGTGCCTTCGGACCCAGGAGAACAGACTTGAGCTCTTCAAGCGCAAGTCCAGCCTCACCGGTCAAGGGCGTGAAGATATCCTCTCTGAAGCGAAGAGCCAGGCTCCCGGATTGCGGGTCTGGAGCGAGCAAGCTACCGACGATAGACTCATCCTTGCTTTCTGTTTTCCGGAACTCAGGTGGCACGGTAATGAGGTAGTCTTTCTTCTGTAGGGCAGCTCGTGTTGACTCCGAGAGGAGTTTGAGTAGATTGTCTACTTTCAGTACGGAGAGTGTCCCGCCGCCACATTGGTCCGGGTGGAGGACTTGTAGGGCGAAGAACCGCGGTGGGGAGGCTTCATAGCTGCAATCGGTGTGCCAGGGGAACTCGTTCATGGTTTCTGATCTGGCTTGGTGGTCGGGACATTGGAAGACTGTTTGGCTGGGTCGGATATCCCAGTACCAACCGCGGTGGGCGGAATGGGTGATGGGTAGTCCGTGGCCGTGCCATTTGTGGAGTCCTTGAATGAGAGTTGTTAAGTAATGGGAGTCATTGTCGTCAAAATTGAGGCTGATTTTTAAAACGCCTGCGTCTTGAAGGTGGCGTTGGACTCTGCCAACGTGCAATTTGTCATTGGCTGAGTCAAGCCTTGGGGCTTGGAGGTATGGGATAGTGGCTGTGGAAATAAGCCTCCCGTTAGCTAAATTTTAACTCATTCAAGGGTTCCTATAACTCTCCTAAATAAGCTTACTTACCGAGCGGCGAAAGCGCCGGAGTCGACCGTACCGACGTCCCCACTGCACCATGATATGCTCTGGTTAAGGTACGAAGCATCTTGAACAATTGGATGGATATCTAGTATATCTCTGAATGTTTCTTGATTAACTCCATGCTTCTCTTGTGCGAAAAGGCTATATAAATTGTTCCAATGAGCCGGAATTCCACCGTCTCGAGCCCTTGCCAAGTGCAATTCCGTTCCGCTTCCTCCCTTGCTTCGTGCTGCCAATTTTTTTTTTTTTTTTTTTTTTGGCTTATCGCAGTGGCCTACGTACACGTCGTTCGTCTACAGGGTAGGAATGTCTTGGCATTATATCTGGGATCATTGAAATGTCCCAAGATTTCATTAGAATGGCTTGGCGTGGTCTTGTCGGTGACGCATGTGACCACTAAGATGGTTCAGCTTGAGCCCAAAGGGAGGATGGGGGTGGTGATACAAAGCAAGGGAGAGCGATAAGATTGTCACAATGAGATATGTGGTTATGAAGATCGCTTATGGAAGGTTTTCTTACATACAACTCAAAATTAAATTAGGTATGTACATGAAGTCATCTCCGGGCGAACCAATATCTAAGGAATATTCAGAATTTTCAAGAGCGGTATGTGCAGTCGTCACCCAAATGCATACTACTGTCATACAGATGAAGGCTCATCCATCAGGCCCCCAACCAACACCCCCCCCACACCCACGTCTCGCTTCCAAATCAGAACTGGTTCTCAGGTCGGATCAACCGCTGGCCCACCTCCCCATATGCGCCCTCTACCTCAGTGATCATCGTACCTTGCACCCAGAAACCCTTGGCGTTCGCCCAGCTGGTCGGTGACGCCACTGCCGCTGCGATGGCCCATGCAACATCCTCCGGCGAACTCTTGAGCGTGTGGGGCTGAGTGGTAGCCTCCAACCCTTCCACCATGGAGGTCAGCGTGAGCCAAGGCGCGATCCAGGAAATGGCGATGTTGGCTCGGATGACCTCCTCAATTAAAGCGGTGCTGCGGACAAGACCCAAGACTGCATGTTTGCTGGCGGTGTAGAGCGGCTGTGAAGGCACAGGGAGATAGGAGCCAGCGGAACCGGTGACGACGATGCGTCCGCCCGTTCCTCCCTGCTTCATATGGTGGATGGCTAACTTTAGACCAAACACGACTGAGTTGATGTTGACGTCAAAGAGTTGCGTTGATGGGCGCTGCAGCTTTCCTTCTTTGGTTTCATCCGCCAGGTAATTGTATCGTGCTTGACTGTTCAGCTGCGCTTGTCGCTCGGGATCTTGGGTCTGGAGCAGTGAGATTTCGGGGTTGATGGCTGCGTTGCACACGACAATTTTAACTGGCCCGACGGTGTCAATGACCCATTGGAACAGGGCGATCTGCTGGTCCCAGTCGCTGACATCGCAGGTCTTGTATGTGGCTTGCAGGCCTATGGCTTCCACTGCGCTCTTCAGTGCATCTTCGTGTAAATCAACAAGCACCACGCGGGCACCGTGGCGGGCTAGGATATTGGCCGTGGCAAATCCGATGCCACGCGCGGCGCCAGTAACAATAGCTACTTTGTTGGAGACATTCTCCGTGAGAGCATTGCTGTCTGGCCGCGAGATAGTCGTCATGATGGTTGAGCGGTAGTGTGATTAGTGTAGAAGGTAGAAGAGGGAACCGCGAGTTAGGGCCATGTCGAGTACTTATGTCATGCCATCACTATATGTAAACGATGGCCCACTTAGCTCTTCGTATTGAATACGCTGGGAACCTCGGCTAACGCTTTCAATAGAAAAAGTATAGCCATTCTCATTTGTAAAAATGATTTCAGGAAGTCTAGAAGATTAACAAGAATCCACTAAGCCCACACTACGAAACTATAATCAATATCTCCACACCTACCAAACTATGTCACTCCGTCCGTCCCTCATAATTCCCTAATCGCTCTATAGCGATTCTCCATCGCTCTCCTCGTAAAGCTACTCATAGGCGCCAACCCTTCAAACCCATGTGGCAGCCCAGGATACAAATGAAACTCAACCGGAATCCCGGCCTTCACAAACCGAAGCACATACTCAGTATCCTCCTGCGCAAAAATATCCAACTGCCCACAATCTATATACATAGGCGGTAAACCCTCTACAGATTCCGCCCTCGCCGGCGCCGCATACTGCTCGACACGATCCGTCCCAACATCCTTCCCCAAATAAGCAGTCCAACCCGTAATATTATCCTCGGGCGTCCAAAAAACCATATCACCCGCATGATTCTCACCCGCCCGGTCATCAAGCATGGGATACACGAGGATCTGCTTAGCAAGGGGCGGAGAGAGACTCCTGTCCCGAGCCATCAATGCCAGACTAGCGGCTAACCCTGCACCAGCACTCTCACCCATAACGGCTATGCGATGGGCATCGATAGACAGCTCCTCCGCATGGGTGTATACCCACTGCAGACCGGTCCAGCTGTCTTCCATCGGCACCGGATACGGGTGTTCCGGGGCTAGCCGGTAGTCGATGCTTAGGATTTGCACACCTGAGCCTAAAACGTACCCAACTAGCATACCTTCCAGTTCCTTGACTGAGAGTGAAATGAACCCGCCTCCGTGGACGTGTACTACGGCGGGGGCTTTCATATCCTTGTCCGGACCCACAGGTCCTCGTTTCTTGCGGTAGTGGTGGATGGGAACTTCGAAGTCACCGGATGGTGTCGGGGCATAATAGACGAGGTGCTCCATATCATCTGGTATGGGCGTCTTTGGGGACTGTTGTGTAACAGCTGCCATCAAATGTCTTCTGGCAGCGACATCATGGACTGCTGGTTTTGCCAATTGTCCGAGTTGTTGTAGGATCGGGCCTGCGGCTTCGGCGAATTCGGGGTCAATTTGGAGAGGCATTTGTGTTTCTCTGAGGAGTAATTTTAGCAAGTGATATTTCGATGTAACGTAAAGAGAGATTTAGTGAGAAAGTGGCTCAGCATTAGGGATCTACAGGGATATTAGTACTGCTACGTTTGTCGAGTAAGCCACCTATGCGGGACTTCGCATGCGCATCGTTATTTCTTCACGGAAAGACAAGTCATCCGAACCGAGAGTCCCTTTTATCTAACGGTGTGGCCATGTTCCTTCAGTCCGGAGGGCGAAGATATGTCTGGTAGAATGGCCGTGTCTTCCGCTCTCCGGACCGGATCCACAGTGGAGCATCGTAAAATGTGGGGAATAAATTTATGTGGATCGGCGGTATCCTTTTAGGAAGTTGACGGCGAGGTGAATAATCCAAGTTCTGAACAATGCCTAGAACATGAAAGTACGTTGGAGATGTAGTAACTATATGGTAAGAAAAAGCATGAAGTCGAATGGTCCATTACAACCCTCGCGATGGGAGAAGATCCCAACCTCGGTGACCATACCACTACTTGTTTTACGTCGTAGTTTATATTGCCAACTAACAGTAACAATGTGTCAATTAGAAATAGTTACTATAAAATACCACTATAAAGACACTTTGGGTGTCCGGCCACCTTTAGGTAGTAGTCGAAAGGGATGATCTTTTAGTCAAGACAAATGACCTCTATACCCTCCTTCGATGAACTTCCCTCTGTGCCGGGACATCCTCAGAGCAAGTGCTCCTGGGGCGTTTTCGACAAAGATGGCCAGAAAGACCTCTACGGGACGTTGAACTTCATCACGCCAGATATTGTGAAATCTACCGCCACGGAGATCCGTCATGGCATTTCAGTCTCGCTCAAGTGTGTTCTCCTGTGCTATTTTGTTACGAGCTTTTGCTAGAGTATTGATGCTAACTTTACCTGCCCAGCTGGTCGTTGGGAGGTATCAAGAGCAAGGGACATTTTCGCAAACATCTTTCACATCGCGTGGTAAAACTGGAGGATCCCGCAACGGGGAAAGGCTTCGGGTTTGATGACGAGGTAAGGAGATTCAGCAGTCGACTTTTTAATATATGAAGGTATCTCAGAGGTTATACATAGGTGGATTTCAATACCCAGGGAAGCAGCCAGTGGGACAGTCTCTGTACGTTATCTCTCTCATACCCCTAAATGTACTCCGCTAAAGAAAAACAACAAGGCCATTTCCAGCATCTCCCCTCCGGTCTATCATACAATGGGTTCAAACCGACTGTCGAAACCCTCGAAGCAAATGCCCACCTCCCAACCCTAGACCGTAAGCGACAACCTCTTCCCAATAACCAAGCCACGATCTAAACCAACACAGACTGGCACTCCCGCGGTGGTCTCAATGGTCGAGGCGTCCTAATTGACTTCAAATCCTACGCCGCAGCAAAAGGAATCCAATACTCCCCTTTCTCATCTTTCCGAATTAGCGCTGCAGACATTGAGGCAGTCGCATCATATCAGGGGACCATCTTCCAAAAGGGCGATATTCTCATCATCCGATTCGGAGTAACAGAGGCATTGGGAGAAATGACTGGAGACGAGCAATCCGCCGCCATGGCTCCACTGCGATGCTGTGGAACTGAAGGAACTGAAGATATGGCACGTTGGCTATGGAACAGGCAGTTCGCTGCCGTTGCCAGTGATAATATAGCGGTAGAGGCTATGCCGCCGATAGTGGATGGGATAGAGAGACCACCAACCGAATTTGGTGAGTGTGATCTGATCTATGGTTTTTGTGTGTATTAGCTAATTGGAGTAGTGCTGCACCAATGGTGTCTTAGTTTGCTCGGAATGCCTCTTGGGGAGCTGTGGGATCTCAAGGCTCTGGCGGAGGAGTGTAAGAAGGCTGGAAATTATAGCTTTCTATTGACCTCAGCACCGTTGAATGTGCCTGGTGCTGTTGGGAGTCCACCGAATGCGCTGGCTATTTTGTAACTTCGTACTAATGGATGTAGCTGGGCTGTTCTTGAGTTTTGATTCATGTGTAGAGTATAGCTGCCAACCAGAAAATGCCCTATAAATTACCCTATAGAGATGTCTTAGCTGTCCGGGACATTTTTAGGTAGTCGAATGGGATAGTTTTCCATTCCACATTAGTTATATCTGTGGTCTTATACCTCGTGGGAATGCATTTTTTTTTGATACTGCCCAAATATCAATACATTTGGCTTGCAGCAGTTATAGCAACATATTCTCCCAGATGAACGACGCAAACAACGGATCCCAATCCGATAGACTCGCATCCGCACCTAGCGAATCCAACCCCTGCTGAAAAGGGCAAGTCCATCCATTAGCAACCCAAGCCTTCGAACCAAGCGCCTCCAGTTTCGCCCAGTCAGGATGAGAATCCGATGAGAACGTGAAGAAGCAAGTCTCCGCCAGACTCCGCATTCCAGTGGATTCCAAAGATCCCGGATGTTGAATCAAATCCTGAAGAACGATAGCACAGGCATGGATGACATCGAAATGACCAAGAATCCATCTATACGGAGCTAGTTCAGGATCTGTGATGCCCATCAAGTAGTCGTTGATGTAGTTTTGACATGCGGTTAATGCTTTTTGTCTGGAAGTTTGCGGCCATTGGGTTGATCGTAGATAGGGTTGATGTAGGATGAAGAGCATTTTGTAGCAACACATTCTTTGGCTCATTGTGATGAACTTTTCTGCTGCGTTCATTTCGGGTAATTTTTGGGTGGAGATCTCGTCGGTACATATTGTGTTCGCCTTTTCGTCTAGTTCTTGGATGTCTTTGCCTGTTGGCGGACGGATACCGTAGACGGTTTGGAAGATTGTAGAGATTAGGGAGTTCACTCGTATGAGGGTTCCTATGAGCTTGCGCTCTGATATACTATTGTTCTCAATGATTTGAACATCTGTGGCGGTGGCGTGGATTAATGGTGGTAATGCATGGGCGACCGAGTAGGCGACGTCCAAACCATGGACGGCCCACCAGAGGACTCGGCGAGAGTCCATCTCACGAGGGGAAAAATTGAAGGATGAGGGATCACGGTGCAGCCCTAAAGACTGAGTAGCTCGCAGCAATACGCAGACAGGACCCGGATCTGGATGCATCCTTCCGTCTGCCATACTTGGGAGAGCGAGGAGAAAGGCTGCTCGGACAGTGTTTAGGTTGGGCTGTCGAGGGTATCCGTTGCTCAAAAGCAGTTGGTCTGCTAGGTCTTTCCATGCAGAGGAAGTAGATACAGGAAGCACTGGCTTCAAGTCACCAGACGCATTAGCAGAGCACGATGCAGCAAAACAGACCGCCGCAATCAGGGCCAACGAGCCCACAGGGGAGCTACGGTTGTGCCTTAGATTCTCAAGGGATATTATAATCTCGGCAATGTCCACTATTGGGTACCAGAGATGACAGTATTTCGAATACCAATCAATAAGTCTGTCAACCTCCACGAGTTGCACAAACAGGTGAGCTTGACCATCAGGAAACTCCAGTCCTCCCTGTAGTGTGGGGGGAGCTGATAGCTCTCCCGACTTCCCACAGGGACCAATACTGGAACCAACGGGAGGCCGACAAGCATCTGGGACATCCACGTCGACTACCCAAGATGAGCTGGAGTAATAGCGCGCTTGAGACTCGCTAGTGTTGTTGAGGTGGCCCTGTTGGTTCAGCCTGATGACCCGGTCTCCACCTTGGCGGCTGTCTGGCTTCCGGGATATTTGAGTGTAAATGCAAGTACGTTCATGTATCTGACAGTTTTCACAGCGGGGCCTAGTCTGATCACATTTTACCTTTCTGAGCCGACATTGGTGACATGCCTGGACTTCCCGATTTCTAGATAGCTTTGGACGATTCAAATTGAGGCGCCGGATGAGCGGCTCGTCCAACGAAGACTGTGGTTTATTTGGACTCATGTGTGCACGTTTGCTTGTGAAACTAGCCTTTCATGCATCATAATAGTAAGAATCCAAGGCTAAAATAGACAGATATAGAGTTTCTGACGATGAAACGTCCATCTGGATGAATAACCTTTTAGGGTCTAGACACCCTGCCGGCCGAGAAACTTGCCGGATTAGGGAAAGTGTGGGGCTTCAGGCTCAATGAGTTACCTTTTATAAACAAACATTTGCATTGTATAGAAGCAAATAGTGGATAATTGTACGATATAGAAAAAATGGTTGTGTATTTATTGGAATAATTACCATGATCGGTGTTAGACATCATATAGATGTACATAGAATTAGATACGGTAATGGATACCGGGAGATATAGAACAAAAACCCTCAACTGCTTCGCTATTCAAGCGAACGGAGACGGATTCCCACAACACCCCCAAAAAATAACAAATCAAATAATACAGGAACAATAGCCACAGCCAACACAAGGCCCTACTAGCCCTTCAATCCTGACTTGGAGCGCAAGGCAGGTTCCACAAAACAGAGGCCCTATGACGTTTTCGACCATGCGAACCAGAATCAACGGTGGACAATCTTGCTGACATCGCCAATAACTAAAGGATTTCTCAAATCAGTAAAGTATCGTTGGTAATCTGGTACATCCTCGAGAGATACTTACGACTGCCAACGGGTGCGCCTATAAGGGATGGTTCTTCCTTCTGGCGTTTTTCATTATGAGGCTCATCCCCACAAATCGGCCCGGGGACTTCTCCGGGACCTCTCACGTCCTCGAGCTTAATGCAGTTCTGAGCGTCAGATACCGTAGAAGGATCGACGGGGAGGGCAGCCGCCAGCGCGGTGGCGCAGAAGAGAGTCATGGCGAGAGATTGGAACTTCATGGTGGGCTGAAAGGTAGAGAGAGAGAGAGAGAGAGAGTTGTGCGAAGTGAAGATGGACAAAGTGAGGCTTGATTGAGAGTGGATGTGCTGTTGCTGAGACTAGAGAGTCGGGGTGCTAGTGCAGTATTTATGTCTTTTTCCTGTCCTACAAATTGATATCGAGGTATTTCTCAAGTCTAACCCATTGCCACATTTGGACTGGGTAAGCTGATCAATTCCAGATCCGATGGATGGTAGTAGTGATGATCATTTGTTTTGATGGACAATACGGGAGCCAATGATCGGGTCCACAGGTCTCACTTTCTACTGTTCACTTCGGTAAATACCGTGAGATATATCATATTGCGGATGGATGTACCTGGCATGGTAAATCGATAGTTCATGAACATGAACCCTTGCAGTAGAACGGCCCGATCGGGCAATGTGGGGATTTCCTGAAAGACAAACGAATACATTTGCCACGCTGCAGCCCGAGCCAATATGATAAATAATTTTAGGTGGAATATGGAGTATTGGACGCCATTATTGGTCACAGATTTGGGTTAATTGGGGGGTGGGGGGTCGTTATTAGCTTGCTTCATATGCAAGAAGATAGATGGTTTCTGCTACGTCTATGCCGATCACTGTTCATGTTTCTTTCAAGATGTGCATCCACATACACACAGTCTATGTCCATCGGACGCACAGAAGAGGTGTCAGGAGATCAGAATCAATTGCTTAGGAGGTCAGCTAAATAATCTATCTTATAGATGGTATCAATGGACTCATAGATAGGAGGTCAGACAAAGAATGGCGATTTCTTCGATCAAACGATTAGACGGCCTCGTTTAAGTTAACGAGGCATAGCCTTGCAGCCTCAGCCACGTACGCATCGTCGAGGATTTACACCCCTTGTAACCCTAAAAGACTATCTATACGGGATGAGTATAGTATCATCCAATAGTTTATCCAGAAGCTAATCTCAAACTGAACATGGGAAATAATTTCCATGTCTGATTATCCCATCAGCTGAAAGAACCCCAAGGTTCACAGCAATTAAACTCTCCCAGAGAGAGAATGCTTCTAACTCTATACAATTCGCTAGATAGAAGAAGATACGAATACTATGCTTAACCCCCTGCTTCCTGGTCTCAATAATAGCATTTCCACCAGCTATTGATGTCTCTTGGAAGTATATTCCGTACTACAACAATTGATGTTGGGAGGGGAAACGAGTTGAATTAGGTCCTATTCGGTTGATTCGGTTGCTTGAATCTATTAACATGATTCATTTGTATGGGAAGAAAACGCTTAGGAAGAACAACAGCGCTAGGCCTGCCTGGGTAGCCTCAACAATATTCCTATTTAGGAGGTTTTGCACAGGAATCCTTCCTTTCTGTGTACTCGCAATGGCGAGTCTGCTCCCACCCACCACGTCCACCTCCCTAAAGCCTAACGACTCACTCTGTTTCTCCGGAAATGTGCAAGAGATCATCCAGGGGCGCGTTGGTTATATATCAAGTACACTTCATGAGAGGATGGGTTAGGGACTAGTATAGTACAAAAGTTGTTTGAAGAGTACCTGTAGCAAATATATACAATTTCCAACACGAACAATAATCTACAGCGACTGAGTAGAAAAGCCCTCCCAGTTCTCAAGCGCATCATTGCACTTCTGCCACCACCTTGGCATGCCACCGAGATAAATCAATGGCTCCCGTCTCTTTCCCGGGATATTAGTACCCATATACCACGAGTTCGTCTTCGGATAGAGCGTATTCTCGGACACCAACCGAACCTCCTCCTTCCACTCCTCTGCTGCCTTAGCCGTGGGTGCAACGTATGCCAACCCCTCATCGCTCATCTTCGTAATAGCCCGACAGATCCAATCGACCTCCATCTCAATGAAAGGCGGTCCATTAGCCAACGAAGTCGGTGCCTGTGGACCATAAACCAGGAAGAGATTCGGCGCGTCTGGAACCATCAAGCCCAGATGAGTAGCCGTTCCATCCTTCCATTTCTCGCTCAGAGAAACCTGGTTCCGATCTTCGATCCCCAGATCCAACAAACTACCCGTGACGGCATCGTATCCCGTCGCAAAGATGACGATGTCGAGATCACGATGGCCCTCGGCCGTGACGACGCCGGTCTCATCGAACTCCAGGATGGGGGCCTTCTTCAAATCATGCAGTATGACATTCTCCCGATCGATCATCTCATAGTAATCTTGCTCCAGACTAGGCCGCTTAGTACCGACCAAGTAAGTCTGCTTCAACGGCGCAACAAGATCCATCTTCTTCTGGTTCGTCATACGCACTCGAACCTGTTGTACCCAGTAATTGTAGAAGATCGAGTTGGCCTCCTCGTTAAGCAGGAAGTCATAGTAATTCGAAACCAAGAAACTATATCCACCCCGCTGCCAAAGCTGATCGAAAATAGCCTTTCGTTCCTCGGGCGATGCCGTGTTAGTCGCCTGAGGCTTGGTATTATGCGGGAATCCCGTGACGGATTTATAGCAGCGGTCGAAGATGGCGTCGTAGTACCCTTTCATCATCTCCGACTCTTCAGGAGAGATCTTGCGTTGTTTCATGGGGAGTGCGAAACAGGGTGTGCGAATGAACACGGTTAATTCACAATCTTTCTTTGCCAGTTCCTGGACGATTTGGAGACCCGAGGCACCGTTGCCGACAATGCCGACCTTCTTCCCCGTCACATCGAGGTTATCTGGGTATGCAGCTGAATGGACTAGCTGGCCCTTGTATTGGTTCAGGCCGGGGTAGTCGGGGAAGTATTTCTTGTAGGAGGATCCCGTTGCGGCGATGAGGTACTTGCATGTTGCCCTTATGCCGGTCGATGTGTGGACGATCCATAGCCCACTCGCTGAGTCGAATCGACATTCTGATACAACCGTGTTGAAATAAGTATCCTTGCTCAGCTCCAGCACACGATCAACGTGTTCAAAGTATCGTCTCAGCTCCTCGACGCCAGGGAACCGTTCACTCCAATGCCAGTCCTTCCATACGGCGGGGATATTGAACTGGTAGGCGGGCATTTCGCTATCCACACGAGCCCCGGGATAGCCATTCCAGTGCCAGACGCCGCCGAAGCCGCTCCCTGCTTCGAAGAGTTTGGTAGTGAGGCCCATCTCGCGGAGGCGGTAGAGGGCATTGCAGCCGCCAAAACCGCCGCCGATTACGACCGCGTCGACTTTGAGGTCTGTTCGGGTCATTCTGAGCATAAACTGAGGGTTGATGTCACTTGTACGAGACACTTGATGGGATGAAGTGGCTTGTAATGATAGGGTAGCGGATGGCCATGGTGCTCCTTTTATCCTACAATATATCCTATCGGGATATACCAGATATTCAAAAATTGCTTCTATACTTTTCAAGGACCGGCAGACGGGACCTCGACATCCGGTTGCTGTGAACTTGCCATCGGGATGTGATGCGCAACAGTTGCCGTCCGAAAAAGGAAGTTGACGGCGAGACCCTAAATACCACCCTTTAGTAGGGATCGACATGGCCAGAATCTAGACCCACATGGGCATGCGGTTGAAGAATTACCGTACCACCCTCAAGGAGAGCCATGAAGAGATGCTTCTTCCGACGTTTCCACTGACAGTGAATGTACCACAGTGGTGCTGTACATAGATACATACAGTAGTACACACAGGCTTGTGGCTTGCTCGAATCTCTCAACCTTGGTTAGCCTCGGAAGTTTGTGTCTCCGCGGTTATTGTATTTAATTAACGAGGCGGTAGTTGTTTTATGTAACAACTGCTTGACCCCGCATTGGTGCTATAATAAACGCTCATCAAGTCCCCAGCATCTTTTAACTTCTAACGGTAGATCTTCCAAGGAAAAATCAAATTCGATACTATGGCGTGCAAAGTTACGGGGACCGCTTTCATCACCGGCGCAGCCTCTGGTATGTACAATCTTGGTATCAACCTAATGCTTCGGGTTGAACAAAATGATAACGAATTAATGCAGGTATTGGCAAAGCGACGGCACTGAAATTTGCAGAACAGGGCATCACCTCCTTGGCACTTTTAGATGTCAACCTGGCCCAGCTGGAAGGCACCCGCGATGAGCTCCGCAACACCTTCCCCAATGTCGAAACCGAGATCATGCAGGTAGATGTCACCAATGAATTGTCGGTCGACGAAGCGATCCGGAAGACAGTGTCTCGGTTTGGTCGCATTGACATTGCCGTGAACTCCGCGGGGATCAGTGGGACACTTGCAAAGACGCATGAGTTAAGTTTGCAGGAGTGGCAAAAGGTCATTGACATCAATCAGACAGGGCTGTGGCTGTGTCAGAGGGGAGTCATCCAGCAGATGTTAACACAAGAGTGGGTCTCATGGTTGCCATTGATCCAGTTCGGTTTCGCTGATTTGTTAGATCGCGAGGTGTCCGTGAAGGTCGCGGAGTAATCATCAACCTGTCCTCGATGTATGGCATCGCTGCTCCCCCGGCAAACTTCGGAATCATCCCATACACTGCTGCCAAGCACGGTAAGTTCCACTGAGATTCATAGTCATGTAACTTCCGGGAGATGCTAAGAGAACCAGCTGTCGTCGGCATCACCAGACTGGTATATGCAATTCCCTATCTGTCTTGGTTTTCCTTGGCATACAGACTCACAATCATAGGACGCCAAAACGTACGGCAAGGATGGAATACGCATCAATGCCATTTGTCCCGGGTATGTATCTTCGCCTTCAACTGTCTATGTCCAACACTAATGATCCAGTTATGTCGACACACCTATCATTCGTGCGGGGATTGAAAGCGGTTCAATGAACAGCGAGTTCGAGAAAACTCCATTGGGTCGTCCCGCCGATCCTGAAGAGATTGCGGACTCCATCCTCTATCTTGCCTCGCCCATGAGCAGTTTTGTGTGTGGTACTGCGTTGGTGGTGGATGGCGGATACACTTTATGAAACGGAACGGACACATACAACTTCTTGTCATCTGCAACGTAGTCATACTAGCATGATATCATAATCAGCCTCGTTAGCAATCTCCTCCCAATGAATGTCTACTCCAGGCGCAGATGCTCGCCTTTGCCACAATGTCGTAACGATTTCGCACAATGATTGGATGTTCTTGATTCCGTGACGACGTTTACGATCAAATAAAACAAACATCCTCTCTTGTAGATCGGGTCGGCTGCATTCTGCGGCAACCACGAAGCTTGCCCAATTATAGGCACATCCGCCTTTCCTGTGAGTAAGAGTCTCAGCGGCTTCAAGATCGTGTACCGCTTTCTCCACAAGGTCTTGAACATCTGTCACAGGGACGCGGCGAAGGGTACGGCGAAAGTAGATAACTGTTGCGTAGTAGAATGAATTCAGGGCATGCTGGATGACAATTGACTCAGGTGTTTCCTGTAAATGCAGGCTAGGAAATTGGAGATAAAGCTGCAGCTCCAGATGGTCCAGTTCCGCAACTGTAGTCTGACCAGGCGACTCCCTGAGGGCAGACATCTCCGCTAAAAATTGCACGAGTGATTGTGAAACACCATGCGACCGCTCCAGATAGTTATGTATATTTGGAAGCTCTTTCAGCAACGCCAACAACTGAGCCGACATCCGGAAATTGCACAGTGCTGAGAGGGACAAGTAGCTCTGAAGTAAGCGTGCCGCTGTTGGTGACTGCAGCCACTCGCCATCAAGCTCATTTTCCAACATTCCCAACCCGCCAAGAACATGAGCTCTCCATCGGCTGCGCCGCCCAGACATGGCTTCAGCCGCAATACACGTTAGCACAGCAACAAGAGTTGTCTCGTCTAGTCGGCTTCCAGGACGAAGGTTCTGTCGCAGATGTTGTAGAGCCTGCTGGTCATGCTGAACCGCAAGAGACTGGTACTTGGATTCGCTGCGAAGATGATAGAGACTAAAAGCGGAAGCTGCACACAGTCCATGGAAGACAGCACGGTGCATGTTAGACTCTGCTGAGGAAGAGTTCAGTCCCTTGAGAGCCAGTGGCATGAAAACCGTGCGACATGGATTGTCAGCTAAGTCGATCAGGATCAGGTTTCCGCTAAGGAAGACGACCCAATGATGGATCAATTCGATTTCAGGGGTAGCCATATTCGTAGGATTCAGCGAGGATGGGATGTGGGTCTTTTCTAATAAGTACCCCCGAACCTTGTTGTGTGTGGATGCTGCGCAAATATCAGAGGATCGCCTACGTTCCATCGGTGATAGGCTTGGTGTTGTCTGGTCAATCTCACTGAGCACATCTTCGCCCGGGACGCATTTCGGAGGTTCCGGAAAGGCTAACTGCTGCACCCTCAGCGATGCCTTTGGATGCGATGATACGGAGAGATCGTGTTGATGTGGAAGAAAGCTGACAGAGCTTTCCGTCGATGACTCGCGGGGACTGTAGACCCGTATATTTCGACTCGAGTCTTCCGACACAGAGACAGAGAAGACCGAAAACGGCCCTCGCTGAGCGATCGCTTTCCCCGAAGAATGGTCCAAGTCACTCAAAAGCGTTGTTACAGCAGACGGCGACAACTCCGACGCAGCCCTAGTTGAAGAGCGCAGCAGCCGACGCTGTATTGCAGTTCCCGGGGCATTGGTCCATCCCAACCGCACGCCGTACCCTTGGCATGTCCGTCCACTGCGATGACACCGTTGACAGCTGGGCCGCTGCTCATCGCACTTTACACGGCGAGACCGACATGTCCAGCATCCTGTGAAGGTTTTAGAACGCGGTTTAGGAGTCATGGTGGCACACCTTTGTGGCAAATGCGGAATTTCCTCAGGGATAAAGTCGGGAATTATTAAATAGTCAAGGGTCCAGTGGATCTTTTTCTTTCCCCACACTCTTGGCAGGGACCAATCTGGAAAAAAAAGGGAGAAAAATAGAAAAAAGAAAAGAAAAAAGAAAAGAAAAAAGCTAGAAAAAAGCTAGAAAAAGGCCATATACGCAACAAATAGAAAAAACTTTATTCCAGCTGTCAACTGCGTATCATGAGATCACACTTTGTACAGTCATAAACAAAATCTACTCGCTACGCTCATTGTCATGAAATTCCACGCAGTGTCAGGCCTATATACGCGCAGATTTGGTCGGTATACGTGCATTTACTGTTGCTTCTTCGCTTCCGGCTTAACCGCCAATGCACGGATAATGGAGGTACCGACATATGCTGATTCCTTCCACCCTTTCTGGCGCATCCAGAAACGTTCCGCAGGGTCGGTTCCATGTCGAGACCATGTGCGAGCATCATCTTCGAGTGAGGCCCGCGTGATCTCGGAAACCTCCTGAGACTGGTCCACATAGGGTGTGGTTTCTTCATCGGTTTCATCATCACTGCTTCTAGATTGCAGAGTCGACTCGAGGAATCGTTTCCGCAGCAAATAGCGCTCTGTCCGTTCCTGACGTACATTGGGGGGTTCCATTTTGGCGATAGTGGCTCGCACGGCGTAGCGCACGAGCAGGTAAATGTGCTCGCAGAAAAAGATCGTGAGCAGCAACGCCCATCCCTTGATGGATGTTGGCTGTCCGTTCGGTCCTTCGTGGCCGTTACTGAACATGTAGACGAGAGCCGCGCTTGTAATACTTCCGACCCAGGACAGGAACCCTAAACTGTCCAGCCAAGGGCCAATGGTATCTGCACGCTGAGGTGATGGCCTTTTGCATTCCATACAGATCTTGAAGAAGTCAGACCGCAGTTCAACCCAGTTGTTGACCAAAAAAGAGACCGGCACCAAGGGCCAGACAGGAGAAAACAGTGCCAGATATCCAAATTGAATACACATCTCCCGGAGGTCATCGGTCACGTTATAGTCTTCCATCTCAGCTTCATTACGCACCCGCTTGAGGAACTGGGCCTCCTCAGGGGCATCCTCGAACGAAACCTCGGGCGCCTTCTTCTCATCCGTATTGCTACCCAGCTCCACTTTGCCGGTGCGTTTCTTGTACTCCTTGTACTTCTGGAGGCCGCGCTGCTTCAGCATCGGAACTATCGTTTCCTGGGCAAAATTAACGGCCTGAGCAGTCACTGTGAAGTAGATGACCTGCTTCTTGAGACGAGCCGGATCGATGCTGAATTCGGCACGTGTTGTTATCGCGTCTTTTTTCGAAACGAATGGACGAACAGTCAAGTGGAAGATATCGAGATACGGCACGATACTGTGAGCGAAGGGAACATACACAAACGCTGTCAGGAAAACAGGTAGGTATGAGGTGATGAAGTTGATCACAAAAATCTTCTGCGTCAATGCCACATCGTACGCGCCCTGGGTCTCATAGTTCTCGTAGTCATTCAACCTTGTCGCCACGGAGACAAGGACGGTGCTCATGGTTGGGATTAAAGCAGAGAGCAAGATGGTAGGTATGAAGACCTGACAAGTCAGTCGGTGGTACTTCAACTATCAATGCATAGGGCTTACCAAGTAAGTCTTCAACGGTCCGTTGTATATCTCGGAGATGAATATCTCAATGGCGAAGCATGTCGCAATGATTACACCCAAGGCAACGGTAGCAACGAGTGCAAATGGCACCTGGAGGAGCTGTGTCTGCAACCGCTTCGTTGCGGGATATACACCTCGAATTTCGCCCGTTGCCTCGTCCCGGACTTCCCTTTCGGGTTTAAATTCTCGTCTTTTCTCGCGCAAAACTGAGACACCCTTAGACTGCCATCGGCAGCTGAGATCCTCTTCCTGATGCTTCCAGTATTCAATGAAGACAATACACCACAGGGCATTTCCTATGGTGTAAATTACTGAAAAAGACCCCAGCAATAGCCAGCATGAGAAGCCAAAAATGGCGGGAAACATCAGAAACCTGAAATACGACTGCAAGAACGCGAAGTAGAAGCCAACCTGCGAGAGCTATGTCAGCATGAAGGCTAATATAGGGAAGTACTGCCGCATACACTTTCTCCGAATGTGTTCCGTATCTGGTCGAGGTCTTCGTTGGACAAAAATGTCTTCTTGCTCCAGTCTCTCATGCATTGCCTGTTGGTTTCTTCATCATGCAGGGGGAAGATGGCAATTACGTTCTCCCACTCCCCGTGTTTCAGGGTAATTCCAGCGCCACCAGCTTCCCGGGGCACAGTTATCATATGGTGGATGACTCGCAATCGCTCGGACTCCGATTGCGGCTCGGCAGAGGACTCGGATTCGGGTTCGGTATTGCGGACGCCGTAAAGCCAGTCGCGAATACTTTAGTGTAAGAGCCCGTTAGAATGGGACATACATCATGGAAGTGAATGGCACGTGGTATCCCTACCGTGACTGATAAACAGCGCGTTGCAACCTCTTTTTCCTGGTGGCCCGGACAAAGACCAGCACCGACGATTCATCGCCCTCCCTCACTTCCGTCTGCAATCCTACCTCAGAGAGTCGACGGAGCAGCAATTCCAGCTGCTGCGACGCGTTATTGACATCTGGAATGGTCAATCTCGCTGTCTTCGGCCGAGCGCGGCGAACATACCCGTGTCATTGAAGCTGTAGCGGATGACGTAGTCCACATGGTTATTGTGAGGCACCTCCTTTTGATAGGGTTGGGAAGCCATTGAGGATAGATTGTATATCTTCACCGTGGCATCAGGCGAAGGCGCGCTTGATCTGGCCGTCCGGAGAAGAATTCCTTCGGAGAGGTAGCTGGGAGCGAGAAGGGGGTTCTTAAAAGGTTCGTGAAACTGCTGAGGACCCGCGATGACGACGTCACGGTCAAAGCTTGTCGTAGGGTAAACCCTCGGTTTGTGTGGCTGAGTCCAGATTAAGTGCAAGATCGGCGATCAGATCCTGCACAGCCACTCCATCGATCAAGCTCTACTACCTTGTTTGGTGAACGCAATTCAAGATTTTGAAAAAGGAAAGCAGCGACGGACATACTTGAATCGTCAGTCCGGGATGCGCATTTCATGTATGTCCAACTCGCCATGCATGACCTCACTGCGCATCGTGATGATTCCAATCTGCAGTCTATGTATGCCAAGACAGTACTAGTCATGACATAGCTACTCCACGTTTGAGATATAATTTCAAACTTGATAAGATTACATAACCTCGCCCGGATGGTCTAGTGGTATGATTCTCGCTTTGGGCTCTAATAGTACCAATCTGCGAGAGGCCCCGCGTTCGAATCGCGGTTCGGGCCACTTTCTTTTTTTATCGATCCACTCTCGTACTATGTATGGTACGATGGTATGAGAGTGACATTATCAGTACGGACAAAGGGTACTACTTCATTTTTGATCTGATTTGACGCAATATGTATTATAATTAATTTCATGGCTCGGAAGGAGATATCTAGATATCTCTCTCCCTTCGATATTTTCACTTATAACTATCCTATAGAACGATTGGAAGTATGAATCTCAGAGCTGACAGAAGGCCTATCTATCTAGATGACCCTCTCCGGACCTGAATGGGGAAAAATACCACCGACAATACTTTCAGACATACATAGTAGAGTTGAGATATACATGACCAGGTCTAACCATGGTTTACAAATACTGCCACGGATAAATCGAATTACACCTTCCATAGAAATTGCCTAAGCCTGTTCTAGGCGAAGTTCTTATGTATCGTGCAAACGCGAGATATTTGACAAACAGTACATGATATGAACAAACATTAGATTGGGAAATTAAAAAAAAAAAAAGAAAAGAAAAGAAAAGAAAAGATAGAAAAAAATGATACTCATATGGAGTAAGCTTAAGCTATATGCTTCTTTACCTCACGACTTCTATTCTAAGAAGTGCATGTCTCACGGATTCTGTTTATTCAGTTGGGGAACCGAACACTTCCATATGAATCCGGTCCTCCTTCACACCCAAATCTTTCAGGGATTTGCTCTGCGCATTCATGAACAGCTTCGGACCACAGATATAGTAATCCGCATCTGGGAGAACGGCCTGTTCCTTAATCTTGTGGAGATCCGCCCTACCTTTAAAATCATAGTCGACGCCCTTCTTGTCCTTTTTAGTAACCTCTTCATAGAACACCGCGCGATGAACTTGTGGATTTTCCGAGATTATCTTAGCCAACCGGTCCTTCATCGCATGCACACGACCATTTCGCACAGCATGAATGAAGACTACGCGCCTCGACCCTCCCTGATCCACAATAGTCGTCAACATCGACATCATAGGCGTAAGTCCCACCCCACCACTAATAAGCACAACTGGCGTAGTAGCATTGACATCCAAGACGAAATCGCCAAACGGCATACTAACATCCAGCTCCGCACCAACAGGTAAACCCTCATGCAGCACATTCGAGATACGACCGGCGGGCTTCTGTCCTAGCGCGAACTCCCTCTTCACAGAGATCTGGAAGTACTCTCTATTTGGCACATCCGACAAGCTATACTGCCGGGGCTGATAGACTCCCAGTTCCGGGACAAAGCACTTCACACTAACGAACTGGCCGGGCTTATACGCCGGCAGCGCACCCTTATCAAACGGCGTGAGGTAGAACGAAATGATCTCCTCCCCCTCATGGACCTTCTTCGAGATGAAAAACTTCCGCCACCCCTTCCACCCACCCGGGGTTGCTTCCGCTTGGCGGTAGAGCTCGCTTTCAAAGTCAATGAAGTACCCCGCCAGTTCCCCGTATGCGGCTTTCCAGGCGTCAAGGACTTGGTCGTTGACTGCGTCGCCTAGTACCTCTTTGATAGCGGCGAGGAGACCCTCCCCGACGATCGGGTATTGGTCCGCTGTGATCCCCAGACTGGCATGTTTATGGCCGATGCGGGAAATGGCCGTTTTGAGGGCTTCTGGATGCTCGATGTTGGTGGCGTAGGCCCATACTGCGTGGGCTAGGGCGGCGGGTTGCTCGCCTGTTGCTTGGTGGGCGGTGTTGAAGATGTTCTTGAGCTCGGGGTGTTGCTGGATGAGACGCTGGTAGAAGAGGGTAGTAATTGCGATGCCGTGGTCTTGGAGTGCGGGGATCGTGGACTTAACAATTTGGATTTGCTGGGGGGTGAGCTTGTTTCTAGAGGCTGTTGTTGTGAATTGGAAAGCTCTGGTGAGCGGGAGTGCCTTAGGCGTGAGGCGAGGGATAACGAGTCTTGGGATGAACATCGTTTTGGTTAGCATTGTTATGAGAGTATTGAGCTTACATGTCTGTCATGTTCCATGGGGTACGGGGGTGAGACTTTAAACCGTGGGCTTTGCGGATGATTAAGTTTTGATGTAAATTAGGGTTTGAGTTTACTGGAGACGTTGTGACGTTATCCATTTGTAACCATTACCCATCTATCCTCTCGGATTGGAGCGTTACATTAGCTATACTATGATTGGAGCTGTCGATGCTACTTAAATATACTTAGACTAAGCGCTTTCTTCCCACGCAATCATGTTGATATATTGAAGCAACGCAATCAATCAATCTAGGGATTCAACTAGTTTCCCCTTCACGGGTGAAGCTTGCAACCCTCACAGGGCTGCGGCGGCAGCGTACTATAATACAACGTCGGCCTAGGCTCCCCAGAAACGTTCAAAAACCCTTTCGCACCCTTCTCCAGACGAAAAATAGCATGATCCACAATTGTATAAGTCCCTGGAACAACCATCTTCATCTCTACGATAGTCGACCCGCCGGGGGGCACACTAACCGTCTGCACGTACTGCCCGGGGGGACTCAGCACATCCGAATCGCGATAGACTTTACTAAAACAGCTCCCGATCACATGAAATGAGCTAGTTAGATTCGGGCCTCCATTCCCGAAGAAGATGCGAACGGTATCATCAAGCGTAGCCTTGAGCGGCTTCTCGGTGAGGGCAGCCTCGCTGCCATTGAACACCACCACGTCGGCTGCTTCGCGTAGCGCATGCGGCCACGAGAACTCGACCGTCGATGATATCTGGCCGTCGTCATCTGGCTCGGGCGGCTCGTGGTAGAACTCGCTTTGCATTACGTAGTATTCTTTGTCGACGGGGGGTAAGTCTTTCTCTGGCTGCACGTATATGAGTCCATACATTCCGTTGGCGATGTGGACGCCCACTGGGCCTACGGCGCAGTGGTAGATGTAGAGACCGGGGTTTTGCAGCTTGAATCTCGCTGTTTTGGTCTCGCCTTCGTTGACTGTTGTTAGGGCTGAGCCGCCGCCCGGGCCCAGGAACGCGTGGCAGTCTATGTTGTGTGGCATACCGGAATCGTCGTGGTTGGTTATCTTCAGGTTGAGCACGTCGCCGACGCGCGCGCGGATGAATGGGCCGGGGACGCTATTGTTGAATGTCCATTTTTCGTATTTGTATTGGTTAGTTAGTTGTTCCAGTTTTGAGACTGTTGTGAGGTCTACGTCTAGGATGACTGGGTAGTCTCGTGTGATCGGTGGGGGGACGTTAGGGGCGGTGGTGAGGATTGCTTTCTCTGTTGGAAGGTCCTCGCTACCTAGGGACTTGGACGTCTCTTTTTTCGTGTCTTGAATTCCGTTGTTGGGAGCTAAGGGGTCGGGGTGGGTGAAATATTTCTCGTCGCTGTCTAGCTTGACAGTGCCATGTTGTTGGGCGTAGAGGAGCCAGCTGAGAGTGGCGGCGGTGGAAAGAAGCAGTGCATATTTGACCCCGGTACTGCTATTGTATCTCTCATTTAGGATCCCCTTCTCGGATTCGGTTGAAATCTGTCTCTCACGGAGTGGACCGCATAGGGGAGAGACCAGGGACGGGCTGGGGAGTAATCGGGGCGAAAGCCGTCTGGCTCCCCGAATAGTATTCACTGACGCATAGCGACACTTGGTACGATATAGGGAACCGAACGCAGTGTTCATCATGAGAGGCATTCACACTTATAGTATTTACAATACACTGAAACGGTAACTATACAAGGTGAAAGATCCAGTGATGAAGAATTCTGTACCAATTTATACACACAAGCCACGAGCCACAAGATACACGAACTCCGAGGAAATCTGCAATTCCTAGGACACCCTCCATCATCTAGAATCAACCTTCCATAATATCACAGAACCTATTGAGGTCTGGTGTTGGGTCCGTCAAATCGGAACGAAGCGAAAGTGATCGATTCCACGGTTGAAATGTCATGTTATGCATAAGGTTACCGGGATCGGTCATGTCATGCGGACAAATCGTTTCTTATTACGAGAGCAAAAGTAATGTGCCACCTTTGATTGATGCTGCATGATTCAAGATGTCTTAAACATACTTTACCTCCGCAAATCCCGCTGCGGACCGAAGACCCTGTTCTGCTGTGGAACAGAATTATTATGCATGACATTCGCCACGCCACTTTACTCTGCAGGTTATGAGCCACTGGGTGTCTGTATAGTTAGTCATCGGATCAATTGCGTGCAATGTAGTACTTTTGTTCAAGCGGAGCTGGGCTGTGAAGCCAGGGAAATGATTCTGCTGAAGGAGCAGGGGTGGAATGACGATCTCATCCCTTTCGGATGGCCAGCGAAGACAAGGCTAGATCTTGGAAGCTGAGATGGGATGCTGTGAATATTGTGTCAGTTAAAGTATACTAGTGTATGTGTGTATGTATGTATGTATGTAATCAAGTGAAGGCCCATATTCAGTCACTTATTCTCTCATCTTTCTCTCCTCTATTTACCCTTCTCTACAGAAAAGGGGAAACGTAAGGGTACTTCCAGATCGTAAGTTTACAGGCGCTTGCCATACTATAAGGCTGCTAGCGTGAGGTACTACCTAGTAGCAGTCGCCTGTTATACTGTATTCGGGGATCTCTTTGATTCTCTTAGATGGTTCTGTATGCACTAAGTCTCCATTATTATTATTATTATTATTATTATTATTATTATTACTCTATACATTCGACTGTTAGTTTGGAATAGTACCATTAACTACCCAGTGCAGCGGGCGAGTTATCCACCACTCCGACACCAGCTTCCACATCGTCCTTCTTTGGAGTCATGCTGCTCACCTCCGACCTGGAGTGGCCGAAACGCTTGATTCCAGTGACCGTCATCGAATCAGTTTGGAGCAAGTACATGTACCAGTAGTAAACACCTGACCCTTATTAGAACGAGTTGTTCAGTCCCAAAACAGACAGATTCACTCACCGCAAAATAAACCTCCACCCAAGATATTGCCGATCAAGGTCGGAATGATTCCTTTCCAGATATACAGACCAACAGTAATTCTAGGAGCTCCGACCCAGATAGCCAGCGGGATAAAAGTCATGTTGGCCACGACGTGATCGAACCCGAGAGATACGAACGCGAAGATCGGCCACCAGATGCCGATGATCTTGGAGGTGAGGTCACGGCCCTGGATGCCGAAAAAGCAGGCGAGGCAAACGAGCCAGTTGCATCCGATGCCGCGAAGGAAGATCATATGGAAATCAGGGGTGATTTGCTTTTTCGTGGCGAATGCGATGACTTGAGACTTGAAAGGATCTGCGGAGAAGACGTTGCCATCTACTTCTGTATCAGTGTTGCTGCTACTTCTCAGAGATTATGGAGACGTTGAGGCGATTGTTCTTACACCCAAATATAATAGCAACGACGAAGAGCGACCCAGCCAGGTTACCAAAGAACGTGACAATCCAATGAATCAACATCTTATACCACGGCAGCCGGCATTGTAGAGCAGCGACAGTAGTGAACTGGTAATCATTTAGCGGCCCTTTCTACCCGCAGGTAAGGCCGGAAGACTTACCATGAAAGATCCGGTGCAAAGATCGGCCCCAGTTAAGATAATCATACACAAGCCGTAGGGAAAGACTAAAGCACTGATTGTGCGGATGAGCCCGGGGGCGTTTTCCTGGAACCAGGGCGTTGTGTTGGTGCTGAGGACGGTTCCACAGGCGAAGGCAAGCAGGCATCCGGCCGACACTGCGCTGAAGAAGACTTTGTCGAGGCGCATATTGCCCTTGGCAACTCCGGCACGCCCGACGAATTCGATCACCTCCGCCGGGGTGAAGGCATCCAGGCTGATTTGCGACATGTTGCTTTAGGTCTCTGGATCTAGATGGATTACACAATGACAGCTCCAGAGGAGCTCGTAGTGCAGATGCAGGGAAGCGCAATGACGAAAAGGATGATAATGCTTGGCGACAGCAGCCTGTTGGGACATGATGCTCACATATAACCTGGCATTTGTAACCCTTATCAAGACATCTGCCTGGAATGAGTGAGAGAGTCGAGAGACCACGATGATCGGCTGCAATATCGATGATCATAACAAAGTTAAATTGGTGCTTATCGAGCGTCCATCACTGGAAGACGCCAGCGGGTCCACTTTCCCATGCATATTATTGAAGACCCGTGCATATTCGCCGGCATTGCAAGGGAGCAAGACTGCAAGAAGGCCCCGTCGATCGAGAGATAAGAGTTGAGATAGGGAACCCTAAGTGCCTCGGAGCGAACCAGATCGAATCCACTTATCAGCCCAGCGATAAGGAATGCGACGCCTTCTCCGCGGGCTCCATCCTTCTTCATGATAAGGGTCCTTGAGCAATGCTAAATGAACCCTGACAAATCCTACTTAATCTATAGGACAGGGCCATTCCATTGGGACTGGCCCTATGGGAAAGGGCCCACTATATTGCAGATCAGGCCTGCATGGCTCTATTACCATCGCATTGGGTATGATAAGACCCCAGGCTATAGAAAAGAACTCTAGACCAGACTCGGCGCTTTTCCGTCACTCGGGTACTACTAATTATCTCGCGTGCGTCATTGTAGAGTTTCTCTTGGTGTTTGGCCCCTCCCCTAGATGATCCTACAAAGCGATATTTCACTTTGCACCTTGGTTTCTATATGGGCCCATAAGCTCTTGCTGTTGGTTCCAGTTACTATTCACTAGCTTTGTACTGTTGTTGCCTATCTTCAGTTCTATTCCTGGATTAAGTTACAGTACTGAGGGACAGGTATGGGGAAGTGTAGGGCTAGCAGATAGCCCACTATAATAACAATAGTAATAATAATAATGATGATGAAGCATGACAGATCACAGAATCTAACAAGTAGTATAAAGAGCTTAGGAAGCTCAAGAAGAAAGAGCAATATATGAATTGGTAGGCTATGTATGAACTGATATAAATCAATATAAGGCTCTTTTGCTGATTATTTTGGATCCAGTATACTTATGGGAGTGTTACCTATAGCATGATGATGTGGACTGAGACTAAAGAACTTCTTAGGAATCAAGTACTGTTATTGAAGTTATCTCACCTAGTTTTATAACCAAGACAAGTAGAATAACCAGAATATACAAGTCTCAAGATGTCAGAGAAATGTCTACTATTCAGGGTAGAAGACCTGTCAACTAGGTAAGGGTACGTAGGCAGAAAGCTAAGCAGTAGATATCAGGCAGGCAGAAGACTGATTCTTGCCTCCTTCTTCTATTAATATTAGGCTAACTTTATATCCAGAAGAAGCCCCTTATTCTCCTAACAAGATAAGACTGACAAGGAGCTACTATACACTATTGAAAAGTCAATGGATATGTGATCTGTTGTCGCCGTTCTGTATATGCACAACGGGCAGGGTATACAATACAATCATCATGCAGTCATCATCGGATCTGTGACATTCCCACTGTTGTATTAAGAGTAAGGAAAAAAAGTAAAGAAAAAAAATATAGTAGAGAGATAAGAAAAAAGAAGAGGAAAAAAGTAAGAGAAAAAAAGATAAAGATAGAGAAAAGTAAAAAAAATTTAAAGGTAGAGGGGAAAAAAAAATGGGCCCGAACCGTGGTTCGAACACGGGGCCTCTCGCAGATTGGTGTTATC